TGTGTGTGTGTGTGTGTGTGTGTGTGTGTGTGTGTGTGTGTGTGTGTTATAGAAACTTAATATCTGTAATGTTTAATTTTTAATCAAGACTTCATCGCCTGATTCTTCCAATGAGAATTCCCCGGCAACTCCTCCTGATGAGCAAGGTCAAGGTGATGCTCCTCCACAGATTGAAGATGAGGAACCTGCATTTCCACATACTGACTTGGCAAAGTTAGATGATATGATCAACAGGTCAGTTGGTTTTATTTCTGGTGTATATAATACATAAGAAAGCCAGGTTTTCCAGCATTCTATGTGGTAGGTAACACAAAGACAGTGAAGAGAAATCTGCTGTCTTAATCTTCCCATCATAGTCACTACCAAGTACTTTATAACCCATGGTTCTTGGTGGATATAATGAAAAAGAGTGATAAATTTTTTAGGTTAACAATATGCACCTACATAGGACCATATTTGTTTGTTTCCAAAGTAGAACTGTTTGCGTTTGTTTATTGTTTGTTTTGTTTTGCTTTGGTTTTTGAAGACAGGGTTTCTCTTATAACTGTCCTGGAACTTGTTCTGTAGACCAGGCTGGACTTGAGCTCACAGAGATAGATCCACCTGCCTCTGCCTCCCAGTGCTGGGATTAAGGGCATGTGCCACCCCATCTGACCAATGATGAAGCAGGTTTTCGATTGGCATATTCCTAAGTTTAATAACTTTAGGGTATCCCTGAAACAAACCAGATCATAAGGAGTTTCTCAGGACATGCCCTTCATGCTGACTCAAGATAATGACACTTTTAAGATGTTCTTCAGGGTAAGGAAAGAATGTAAAGAAACAGAAGTGCATGTCAAAAAACCTTATCTGAGTGTAGTCCTCACTGGGTAGTGTGAGCTCAACAAGGGCCCTTCAGAAAGAGTAGTTAGTGGACACTGGAGCAACGAATGGCTCAACCAGCAAGAGTACTTGCTGCTTTTCCAGAGGACTCGTATTCCGTTTCTGGCACCCATATGGCAGCACCCATCTGTCATCTGTTATTCTAGACCCAGGAAGTTACGGGTACCTCTTTTGGCCTTGAAAAGTACCAAGCATACATGCAAACCTAAAACTCTCATACACATAAAATAAAATAATTAAAACAAGAACATTTTTAAAATATAATGGAAATATATACTCTTAGGAATTTTGCTTTTTGTTGTATTTTTACTTAATAAAAGTAAAAACTGTTAGATACGGAGAAATAAAATTCTCTGCATTAAAACAAACTGAGCTGGGTGTAGTGGTGCACATCATTAATCTCAGCACTTGGGAGGCAGAGGCAGGCAGATCTCTGTGAGTTCAGGGTCATCCTGGACTACATAGTAAATTCTAGGGCAGCCAGAGCCATATAGACCCTATCTGGAGAAAACACACAAACAAAAATCTAAATTCCTTAGTAATAAGTATGCATTGTTAAGTAAGCATAGAACTGTGTTGTATAATATATAGTAAATAGGTAAAATTTATCTAACCTCTTCCCCCAGCTTTATCCCCCTTACATATCCCAACCAAAAATTTCTCTTAACATAAATCAGGAGTACATTTTTCCATATTTGTGTTTACTATTATATGTGTATTGATTTTTCTATACATATAGAATCTTATTATAATTTTGTGATTTGTTTTACTTTTTTGTAATATTTTCCTATTGATTCATCTTTAAGGGAACATTTAAAAGAATTTATGCTTCTAGTAGCAGCTTGTAATAATCACATGCAATGAATTATTGTCAAATCAATTTTTTTCTTTTACTTTTTTTTGGAGTTTTCCTACTCATACCTTCTGTGAGGCTGTATTTGTATGTAGATATTGTTTGAATTTGTATCTTGCTTTCTCCATCTATGGTAATTTCAAGTTTTGGGTATAGTAAGCTGGGCTGTCAGATCAATGTTAGGATATTTATAATGGTTCTTGGTTGTTCTTAATAGCAGAGATGACATAGCGGAAAGTTGCATTGTTACATTTCAGATTTGTCTAGTGGTTGATAAAATATGCAGGCTAGATATTAGGTTGCATAAAAAACAATTCTTTATGGAAGAAAAATGCAAAGGACATTTTTAAAATAATGGTGGGTAGTTACTTATTTCTAATAGGTTATTAATGGAATGTTTTTACTAAAGGGGGCAAGAACAGTTGAGATTGAGTTAAGACCAGCTCTTAGGAGAGATTTCAGTGGTTTTCTAGAAGAAGAAGGTTGACTCTTCTGAGGACAATGGGTGAATTAATGGTGATGATTGGGAAGGCCTATGAAAAGGATGGATAGCCAGATGGTCAGCACTGTAACTAAAGAGAAGGCTGCATCTTTGTTTAAGGGAAGGTCACCTGTGGATTCTGCAGATCCTTTAGAAAAAATTGCTAGATTATGAGGCATAAATCAGTCTTGGCCTCTGAAGTTTTTGTTCTTTGTGAAGAAGTTCAAAGCATACTTCTTCTAGTCTGAATTCTGAAAGCCCTTTCCTATGACGTTTAATAATAGGCCTTGATGCACAAATTAGTATTTTATTATAGTAGTTTCTTACATTTTTTAAGTCTGCTTGTAGAGACAACAAATGATACTTAATTGTTAAAAAGAAAATTCAGCCAGCCCCACTGTTTTAGTATTTAATGTTATTTTAGTTAATAATTAATGTTTTCATAGTAAGATGAATAATTATAATTAGTAACTGACTATAGTACATTTTATATTTAATTCACAACCAGTAAGCTTCTATTTTATAAATTCCTAGGCCTCGATGGGTTGTTCCAGTTTTGCCAAAAGGGGAATTAGAAGTGCTTTTAGAAGCTGCTATTGATCTTAGCAAGAAAGGTATGTCTGAGTGTCAATGCTTTTCTAAATGTGTACTACTACATATATTTTCACTTTATTCCTGAAAACTTTATTTTCCTGTTAAAACACAAGCTTACAGATAGAGCTCACATTAGTTTGAAAAGGGCGGTTCTCAAGAGTGCTAGACAGTTCATGTATTTATATTTCTAAAGAGCAAGTCCATTGTTTAGATTTGCAGTCACTCAAAGATTTATTCCTGTTGTGGGAATTCCATAATATACACAAAAGTTTTTACAATTAAGTACTCTGTAGGCAAAGCTACAGAGAAATCCTGTCTCGAAAAACAATAAGCAATGCATCTTACTTATTCTCCAAGGGTGGAGAATAGTAAAGATATGTGTGGGTGCTAAGTACATAGTTTGCAAGCTAATATTTTAAAAATAATTGTGAAATGTCAAATTTAAAGACTTTCAGAACAAAATGCTTGAGTCTTTGTCACATGGCACTGACTCTTGGGTTTAAGTTATAGTCTCATTTATTTCCTTTATTTTTTTTACTTCATTGATGATTCAATCTAAGACTAGCTACCCTTGCACTAAGCTATAGCTCCAGCCCTGAGTTATTGTTAATATTATCACTTCTGCATAATTATTTTAGAATTTGCTTCAGGAGGCCTCGAAATAGCCGAGCAGTTAGTTATTAATGTTTGCTGCTCTTGCAGAGAGGGGACCCAGGTTTATTTAGTTCCTAGCACCCACAATCATTGACTCATAGTCACCTATAATGCCAGCTCCTGGGAATCAGACACCCTCTTCTGGCCTCTTATAGTACCTGCATGAAACATGGTATACATCAGGCACACACACACACACAGACACACACATATAAATTTTTCTTAATTTTTAAAAGTTTATTTCTGAATTAAGTTTCCTTTCTGACATGTAGAAATTTTGAAATAACAATAGTGTTAAAATAATGCTGTGAGCTTTTTTTTTCCAGAAGTACCCTGTAACTGCTAGCCTGTCATCTAGGTTTCCAATTACTTAAATCTTTCATCGCATAGTTGAACATTGTGAAATGATTTTTTTCCTCCCTTTTCTTAGGTCTTGATGTTAAAAGTGAAGCATGTCAGCGATTTTTCCGAGATGGGCTAACAATCTCATTCACAAAAATCCTTACAGATGAAGCAGTGAGTGGCTGGAAGTTTGAGATTCATGTGAGTTTTCCATTTGACTTTTAAAAGGCAGATTATATAGTGATCCTTTTGGTGGGGAGGGCAAGTATGTGTGTATTTGTATATGATATATTTGACCGATTGGAGTATAAATGTTTAACTTTTAAAGTAATTTTATAGTAAATTATTTCTGTTAGAGATAGCATTGGCATTTAAAACTAGCATGAGATTTAGAGCTAAAATATTTGATTTATTCTTTCTCCCTGGTTCTCCAGTACCTTTTGAACTTGGGCAGATCCCTCCATTTTATTGAAAATCTAATGCAGTGAATTGTAAGATGTAGTTTTATCTATTTTATATATTGTTAAGGAAGGCAAAATTTTCCAAGATGGGTAAAATGTAATGCACGTCTGAGGGACTAGAAAAGTCAGTGTTGTAGAGGTAATGAGAAATGAACTCACTGCAGAAAAGAACAGTGAAGAAACATGCATATTTCAGTTTTGGCACCTAAAACTTCTAATTATTTAAGCCATGAGTTACTGTCTAAACAATTCTGTAGTCTGAATTTAATTTACAATTGTCATTTTTAAGTAGATAACTCAGGGGCTATAATATCTCCAAATAATGAACAGAAGCAAATGAAAATACTTTAGTATTTGTTATTTGTAGGATGTAATCAAATTTCGTTTAAAGAGTTGTATTTGGACTAATGAAGTACTGTAACTGCTAAAGACCTGTTACTTGTTTCACTATGGACATAGTCATAAAGCCAATGATGTTTTTGTATTCTGACCATTTTTTCAGTTACAATGATGGGGTAAAAGTCACAATATAACATAATTTCTCAGATTTAGAAATATCTGATTTGTCAGTGTATAGCCTTTCATTTGGAGTAACTGATACATTATTTTAATTTTAGAATTGTTGCTTCTAGTGTAAGAATTCTAAAGAAGGAAAAAAGGACATTTGTATCTTGTCTGAAGACATAGAGCAGGATCTGTCAACTCACATTACTTCATTTTTAAGCAAGTAACTTCTTGAAAGTACACACCATATAAATTATAAAGCAGATTAATTTGGTCATAATACTAGTGGATTAAATATATTCAAGTAATCAGCATAAAATGGGGAGTTCATTGAATATTAAGAGTAATTAGGATTGCATCTTCTGTTTGAAATTGCAGTGTTTCACATTCTAAATCACCTTTCTCCCATATATAACAGAGATGTATTATTAACAATACACATCGCCTGGTGGAGCTATGTGTGGCTAAATTGGCCCAAGACTGGTTTCCACTTCTAGAACTTCTTGCTATGGCCTTAAATCCTCATTGCAAATTCCATATCTACAATGGTACACGTCCGTGCGAATCAGTGTCCTCAAGTGTTCAGGTGCCTGAAGATGAACTTTTTGCTCGTTCTCCAGACCCTCGATCACCCAAAGTATGTTGATTTGTTACTTTCAAAATTAAATATTAAGATTGTTTTGTTCTACTGCAGAACTTCTCAATCTCTTGTTGACACAGAAAAAGACTAATTTAATTATACTCTGAAAGGGATTTTGCATTATGGTTTGAATTCTTAATTTTATACCAGAACTGTTTTATTGTATTCTACTAGTGTTTAGTTTTTCTGTGTAGTAATAGTTGAGATCTGAGAACCAAATGTAGCTTTGGGACTTTTAATGAAACAGTATATAGCACTAGGAACCTTTGTGTAGTCATAGTATTTCAGTTCAGTGCTTATGGTTCTCCCCTCCGTGTATAGTTAATCCCTATTATCTTTTATTCAACCTCGAAATAGTCATAATTTGGTTAATATAAGACATTTGTTTCATTTATAATAGTAATAGAGAAAAATTATAACTGATTAGAAAACTCAGGTGTAGTTAATAAAGCCATGATACTTTTTTAAACTCCAGAATAGGAATATGTTATATATGCTTAATAATAAATCACAAAAATAAAATAATAGAAATTATAAAATAGAAACAAAAAGATAAAACTTTGAAATTTTACTAAAATATATAGTTAAAAATAAATTTCCTATAGCAGTGTACTTTAGATAATTTTTTACTGTATACTTTTATACTTTTATAATTTTAATTTCCTTTAGTAAGTGCTGCTAATACATAGTTTCTAAATATAGACTTTAGGGAAACTTTTAAGATTTGTTTTTTTTTCATGTGCATGAGTAATTTGCCTGCATGTATGTTTTTACACCGTGTACAGACCTGGTGCCCTTCAGAGGCCAGAAGAAGGTAATGAATCCCCTGTAAATGGAGTTATAGAGTCACCATGTGGGTGCTGGGTATTGAACCTAATTCATCTGTAAGAGCAGTCATTGCTTAACAGCTGAGCTACTTACCTGTCTAGTCCCTAGAGAGATATTTTTAAGATTTGGGATTTTTTCCTTCTCCTAATCAGCCAAGAAATATTGAAAGTCAGAGGAATATTTTGACTTTCGTTGTTAAATCTTTATAAACTTTTAAAAAATTGATTATCAGGAGGTAGTGGTGCACACCTTTAATTCCAGTACTTGGGATGCAGAGGCAGGTGATCTCTTGAGTTCCAGTACAGCCGGTGCGGTTACAGAAAACTTTTCTCAACTATCTCCCCCACCCCCCGCAAAGAGCATGCACATTCTAGGCTATAGAATCATTTAAAATTTTTTTCTATGTAAGACTGGTTTGATGTTGCCAGTTCTGGGGTTTGTAGTGCCGCCTCCTGACCTCCACCCAAAAGTAGTGCACATGCGTGCTCTTCTGGTCTCTGGCACCAGACATGCACATGGTGTAGTATATAAAGGCAAAACTCATACACGTAAAATAAATACTGAGAGTTTAATGACCTAGGATTAGTCATTAAAATAAATTAAAAGATAGGAAAATATTGAACTTACTGAAATATGACAGTGTCTAGTCTTAGAGAACTTAAAATTTCAATTGTTACAATTAGCTTATTGCATTTGTTCCCTTGGTTTCTTGAGATAGGGTTTCTCAGTGTATCCCTGGCTACCCTGGAACTCAAGCTGTAGGTCAGGTTGGCCTTGAACTCAGCAATCGCACCTGCCTCTGCTGCCCCGAGTACTGGGATTAAAGGTGAGCCACCACCATTGCCTAAAAAACAGAATCTGTATTTGACATTTCCCCCTTTTAAATACAGCTGTAGGTATTCTTTTTGCCTAGGGCATTAGTAGAGAAATTGTATTTTCTTCTCCCTCATTTAATTTCAAAACACGGCCTTTTAGAGGGTGGCAAGGTGTAAAAGGTTGTCTTGGGTATTTAGCTTTCTGATATATTTAATTTTTTTTTTCCAAGATGGGGTTTCTCTGTAGCTTTGGAGCCTGTCCTGGAACTAGCTCTTGTAGATCATGCTGGCCTCAAAACTCACAGAGGTCCGCCTGCCTCTGCCTCCCAGTGCTGGAATTAAAGGCGTGCACCAACACTGCCTGGCTGATATATTTAATTGTTTTGTAACCTTTCAGTTCATTTTGAGTTTTTTTTAATGGCAAATTTTATTTTTTATTAATAAGGTTAATAAGATGGGAATTGAATAAATTTATGTAAATTAGCTAAAGTATCCAGAAGTTCTAATTAGTAATAACACATACCATGTTATGATTCGGTTTTCTTTTCTTTCCTTTTTAAAAAATTTTTTTCTCCTTTTGTTCCTCCTGCAGTGCGAACAGTGTATCAAACCTAAGCCTTTGCTCTTGGTAGCCAAGTGTTCAACTCCTGTGACATGGGCTAGTTTTTAATTGACAGTTCATGTTTAGGCTTCAAGATTATTCTATTTATATGAAAATTTTAAATGCTTATAACTGTAATAAGAAATTGACTCAGTGACACATGCCATTGATCCCAGCACCCAGGAGTCAGAGGCAGGCAGATCTCTGAGTTCAAGACTTGCCTGGGCTTCAGAGTAAGTTCCAGGACAGCCGGGGCTGTAGAGAGAAACCCTGTCTTGGGGTGAGGGGATTTACTCAGAATATTTTATACTAGATTATTAAATAGCTTTTTCTTCATCTATTACTTGAGTCTTTTAACCTCATAAGTTATTTTAATATAGCTGTTTTTAGGTACTTAGAAAAGCCACATTCTTCAGTGTGTGATTGCTGAGACAAGCATGGTTTTAATTCCCCAGTATCAAAACTGATACAATATGTTCCTGTAATGTAATTCATGCTTGCTTGTTTACTCTTTGTCACAAGTGGATTACTGTGAATGTTTTGAAGTCTTTTCATGAATGATTTGACATTAATTGGTTTAATATATCAGTCAAAATAGTACTTTTTCTTAGAAGCCAAAAGATTAAACTTTGTTACTTTTATTGCAGGGTTGGCTAGTGGATCTCCTCAACAAATTTGGCACATTAAATGGATTCCAGATATTGCACGATCGTTTTATTAATGGATCAGCATTAAACGTTCAGATAATTGCAGCCCTTATTAAGTAAGTTAGATTTTGAAATGAAATGTTCAGTGTTCTTACTAGTTTCTGGTTTTATTTTGGCTCAGTTAAGAAATGGAGTAATTGGGGCTGGAGAGATGTCGCAATGGTTTAAGTGACTGTTCTTTCAGATGACCTGATACTAATAATGTGGTTCACAATTGTCTGTGACATCATCTCCAGGTGATCTGATATCTCTGACCTCTTGAGGGTACTTTCATTCAAATGCACATATTCAATCAAAATGAAAATACACACACGTGTGCACACAAATAAAAACTTTAAAGACAAATATTCAAGATTTTTATTACTTGTTAATTGGATGTTTTTAAAAATAATACATGTACTATGAGAATCTACTAAAATTTGATTTTAAGAAATTGAGTATTTACAGGAGTTTTCTATTTTATTTCAGACCATTTGGACAGTGCTATGAATTTGTCACTCTTCACACAGTGAAAAAATACTTCCTTCCAATAATAGAAATGGTTCCACAGTTTTTAGAAAACTTAACTGATGAAGAACTGAAGAAAGAAGCAAAGAATGAAGCCAAAAATGATGCTCTTTCAATGATTATTAAATCTTTGAAGAATTTAGCCTCCCGGGTTCCTGGACAAGAAGAAACTGTAAAGAACTTAGAAATATTTAGGTTAAAAATGATACTTAGGTAAGTTCCTTATCTTTGGAAATAATCATGTACGTGAATTTTTAGAATCAAATCAAAACTGAATTTCTCCTACAGGTTATTGCAGATTTCTTCTTTCAATGGAAAGATGAATGCACTGAATGAAGTTAACAAGGTAATTTCTAGTGTGTCATACTATACCCATCGGCATGGCAATCCTGAGGAAGAAGAGTGGCTCACAGCAGAGAGGATGGCTGTGAGTTCTTTCACTTTTTCTTTTTCTTTTTTTTTTTAGTATATAAATACATAAATCTAGAATGACTGCTACTTAAATTAGTAATGTTAACATTCAAATTAAAGTTGGAAATTGAATGTTTTGATTAATTTATAAGATTATTAATCTCAAACTTTCTAAAATAGCGTAATTATTTTGGTGGTTTAGCTTGTGTTGGATAAATTTTTTGTTAAATATTTTATTGCAAGTTTTGCAGTAAACTGGGAAATTGGTTAAAAGAGAATGCAAGATATAATATTTGAACATAATTGAAGCAAGGGGGCCTGTTCATATGACCAATTCCAGTTAATGATTTGAAAACATGAAATACACAGGTGGATATGGTGGTGTACAATTGAATCTCAGCACTGGGGAGGCAGAGGTAGGAAGATTTGCTACAAGCTTAAGGCTAGTTAGGGCTACATTTTGAGACTGTTTTTTATATATATACACATATACACACACACACACACACACACACATATACACACGAGAATAATATCTATGAGAATAAAACTACATAAATTACTGTTTTATCTCAATTTTGAGAATTTGGTTTTACAGTGCTTGACATGTTTTTATTAAATATTTAGAAAACTATTTCCCATATATATTTCATATATTGCAGCTTTAATTAATAAATTGCCATTTAAATTAGAAAACCCATGTCCCTTGGGTACTTGTAGACAGTCATGAGACACCTGTAGGAAATCAAAAACTTTAGCTCCCTGGCGCTCTTCTGTTAATAGGGGAAGCAATTAAAATAATTTTAAAAACTATTGAAAGGTTAGAGAGATAATTCAGTGAAGCCTTGAGTTCAGTCGTCAACCAAAAAATATGGATATTTAGATATTTAGACCTTGTCCCTGGGTGAAGAGACCAGGTGATAGATGTCTAATTTTGTGTATGCTAAGTGCCTGTCTGCATTGGGAATGTTGTTGGTCCTTGAGCTGTGTGACTGACTCATTCTAGAACATACAGAAAATGGCATTAAATGCCTAAAATTTTTCTAGTAGTTTGACAGTTCTCTCTCTCTCTCTCTCTCTCTCTCTCTCTCTCTCTCTCTCTCACACACACACACACACACACACACACACACACACACACATATTCGAGGAGGAAAAAGACTCCCTTTTACAGGTTGGGAATTTTTGAAACTTGTCCTTTAGTAGTAAAAATCTCATATTTATGGGACATTTTGGGGCCCAACTACCTTTATTCTCAAGTTGAATACTGTAGAGTCATAACTGTGTGAAATATCTTTTTTTTATAATCTTGAGTCTTTATTGCTTTTGAAGTTTGATAAATGGCAGTCTAGCTGCAGCCTAGCTTATGCACAGTATTATGGATGGGAACAAATGAAGCATGTAGACTTGATTCAGATTCCAGTGCCAGTATCTGTAAACCTGTTTATTAAGCTAAGACAGTGTATCTCTCACTTGGAATGTTTGATAGATGCAACAGGTAATGGAAATGCAACAATAGGGTCTGGTACATTGCAGTCAATTAATAAATAAAAGTCTTTTTAAAAGTATCTTTTGATCTAAGATTAAAATCATTCTGGGGCAGAATTAGAATTAGTGTAAGGAACCTAAAAATATCAAAGTTGGCCTTATACTCATTCTACCTAAACCTTAAGTGTTTTATTGCATTTAAATGATATTTTTGTGAGTTAAATGCTGTCATTTATAATCTTTTTAATGATTTGAGTATAATTTAATGGAAGATACTCTGATAAATTACTGTCAGGTATGGTAGCTCACAACTTCAGTCCCAGCAGTTGGGATGGAGGTAGAGGCAGGAGGATAACACATTTAAGACTCGCCTGTGCTGTATATCAGGATTCCATTTCAGGGTTAAAAACTATAGAATTTTTTTAAAGTAATATTCTGTGATGATAATGCATACTTTGCACTCTGTTTTGTAAATAAGCTGTAGGATTTTCCTACACATTGTTTGCATTATATGAATGGTACTTTCAAAAAGTTTTGTGTTTTAGTTTGTTTTGAAATCTGTTTTTTTAAATTACATTTAGGAATGGATACAACAGAACAATATTTTATCTATAGTTTTGCGAGATAGTCTTCATCAACCACAGTATGTAGAGAAGCTAGAAAAGATTCTTCGTTTTGTCATCAAAGAAAAAGCTCTGACCTTGCAAGATCTTGATAATATCTGGGCTGCACAGGTAAGGATTTTGAAAACTAAGTACTTACTGTAGAAACTTCCTAAAATTTTCAGTAATGCTTAAAATATGCAACAGTTCATATTTGGTAAAAGTTTAAGAGGCAAAATGTAAAATAATAGGGAAACTGAGTATGATTGTGTATATCTGCAATCTCAGCACATGGGAAGTAGAAAATAAGGAGAATCAGGAGTTGAAAACTAGCCTGGGCTACAAAGCAAGATTCTGACCCAAAAGACAAGGGGTAGAGAAACATAGCCCAGTCCAATGTGCGTTATTTATGGCATTAAAATCTTAGTATATTTAATAAACTGTAATTAAAAAGTTAAGTCAGGGGTGACACACACCTTTAATTCCAACATTCAGGAAGCAGAGGCAGGTGGATCTCTGAGTTCAAGGCCAGCCTGATTTACAGAGCAAGTTCCAGGACAGCCAGGGTTACACAGAGAAATCCTATGTGAAAAAACAAACAAGTTGATAGGAATTTCCAGAGTACATATTAACTATGTATATGTATGCAAAAATGGGATTGTGACGTTTTAGGTCTAAAGAATTTTAAGCATTTTATGCATTGATTAAATGGAAATTGTGATAAAGTCTTCCTGGTGGTCATCAGTAGTCCGTATATACGTTTCTGTTATTCACAGTCTAGTGTGCTATGATCTTTGTTTTTATTTTTCAATAGGCAGGGAAACATGAAGCCATTGTGAAGAATGTACATGATCTACTGGCCAAATTGGCATGGGATTTTTCTCCTGAACAACTTGATCATCTTTTTGATTGCTTTAAGGTAATTATTAACACAGCAAGATTGTTAATATTTTAATTTTAGATAGAATTGATTAAAACTACAGGCTGTTTTTAGTCAATAAATAATTAAAATCTCATAAGGACAGTCTCTGATTTGAAGGACTTTATCTGATGTAAATGATTTTGCCAGTGCTTTTTGTTTGTTTTTTTTTTTGCCCATGAGAACTTGATTTTCATTTTCATAATAGTGCTAATAGCCCTAATAAGGACTCTCATTCCTTTTCAAAACTAATGTTATCATTTGGATTTTCTTTCCCTCTCTGTATTTTGGAAATAGGTTGAAGTAAACTTTAGAAAAGTAGGAAAGAATGATTATAAGAAATGTAAGAGATGACAAGGAAAGGAATAGCAAATACCATGGCATTTTAGGGATATGTACTCAGGTAAAGCATAGCATAATAGAAATGTAATAGTTTACAATGTTGTGCCAAGATCATTAGAGTTATATTCGCATTGGTCCCATTATGTACTTTCAAGTTATGTAGTGTTAGCAATCTTCATCAGTTGCTGAGACTCAGTGAATGCTTAATTGGTAAGTGAACTTGTGGATTAATCATATAAGACATGACAGTGTTCACGAATGGGAGGGCTTATTAACAACTGGCATTAGATCACCAAGTGTTACTACTAAAAATAGTGATTCTGACTGGGAATATAAGTTGCTGTAACACTTTGGAAGGTTCAGTGCTGTTTCTGATGAGGTACAATATTCTGGAAATATTAGTATAGCTCAGCAGTAGAATGCTTTCAATGCTGTCAATCAACCCCAAACACCCCAGGATTTTTGGATATGTGCACTGAAGTATATGTTCAGAAATACTTGAACTGAAGTAGTTTATATTAGCTACAAATGGCAATGTATAGAGGATATATAAGGAATGTCCATTTAATGGAATACTGCATGGTATTGGGAATAAGCAAACTGTAATGATTTACCAACATGGATGAATCTCATTGGCAGAACATTGAAAAAGGACTAAAACCACCTAATAATCTCTACCTTGAATAAATTAGCGTAAATGTCAGAAGTAGTTCTAGAAGGCTCCTTGGGTTCTGTTTGCCTTGTGTGGTTTTTAATATAGGTAATGGTTATGTTTATGTCTACACTGAGTTCTCATATACATACATGCCTGTATGTATGCCTACATGCCAGAAGAGGGCGTCAGATTTCATAGATGGTTGTGAGCCATCATGCGGTTGTAGTTGATTTTAGGACCTCAGGAAGAGTAGCTAGCACTCTTAACCTCTGAGCCATCTCTCCAACCGTACACTGGGTACTCTTAATGAAACATGTTTACATCTTGTTGTATGTATATTTCACAGTAGGGGGAAAAATTACCCTCTACCCCAGACATATTATGTTATGTCAGTTACTAGGTACAAGGCCTAGAAGACCATTTTAGTTTTTTTGAGGCAAGATTTCTCTGTATCCTTGGCTGTCCTGTCCTGGAACTTAGTCTTTAGTCTGTAGACCAGACTGGCCTTGAACACAGATCTACCTGCCCCTGCCTCTGGAGTTCTGGTATTAAAAGCATGTCCCACCACCACAACCTGGCTCAGTAAACTCAGTCTTAAATCTGTGTCTTGAAAATGTCACTGCTTTGTAGGAAAAACAAAGTATAAAATTGATGTTTTTGTGGTTTTAGATATCATCTTAAACATTTCACACATACAAAGATAAACTTGCTGTATATACATTTTTCCATCTTTTGAACTATATTAAAGACAACTGAGGAAATAATGTAATCAGTTATTGTGAATGCCTATTAAGTCATTCATCCTTAATGTTGAAATGACTCCTGAAATGGTGGTGATACATAACCAGTGACATATTTATACGAAGGAAAGAAATAGAACAATTGTTATTACATCCTCTGGGACTTCTTCCTCCCAGAATAATCTTTAGATAATTCCTTAATGATTGATTGATTCCTTTTTGGATTAATAAATGCTTATCAGGAACTTGCTAAATAACAAGCACTTTTGTTTTGAATTGGGTATCTCACTGTTTATTCCTGGTTGGCTTGGAACTCAGTAGGTAATCTATGGTGTTCCCGAATTCAAATCTACTATTACACAAACCCTAAAAAAAGAAGAGAAAACCAAATATGAATTTTCATGTCATTTAAATGTCGTTCTAGGCCAGTTGGACAAATGCAAGTAAAAAACAACGTGAAAAGCTCCTTGAGCTGATTCGTCGTCTTGCAGAAGATGATAAAGATGGTGTGATGGCGCATAAAGTGTTGAACCTTCTGTGGAATCTAGCCCACAGTGATGATGTGCCTGTAGATATCATGGACCTGGCTCTCAGTGCTCACATCAAAATACTAGATTATAGTTGCTCCCAGGTAAGGGGGTGCTGCTTGGCTTGATTTTGTGACTTTTCTGCTCCTTCAGTGTTAGAAGGGCTTAAATACAGGATAATTTTAGGTTATTCTGGTATTACCTTTAAATCGTTCATGTAAGACTGACTGCCTTTTTTATTTATTTAATGCAAAATGTTACGTTTTCCAGAGTTTTCATTCATTCTTGTGTAGTGATTACAAATGGCTTACAAATAAACACTTGGGAAGATTTTCCAACTTTTCTGTATTTGCTTACAAGGTTAGAGTTTCCCTCACTGGGTCACCTAAGTGGTTTTGAAAGAATGTGTACAGGTTTGTTTTACAGTGCATTTAAAGTTTGTAATCCTGTTTAAATACACAAAAATAGGAAGGATTAACAAACTCCTACTTGGAAACCAAAAAAAGACAGAGAGAAATGCAATCGAGACAGAACCTACAAGAAACATGAAATCAATTGGTCAGACCATAGATGACTGACAACAAAAATAATATGGGCCCTCAAGGCTTTCTGTTTATGCTAGAGGTAGACGAATCCTAAAATAATCAGTGAAAATCTGTCTTTCTTAATGTCTCCATAATAACGTTTTATGAATCATATGAGTCTCTTTGGGAAAAACTACAAGCAATAGGTCATTTACTAATAATGTTGTTAAATGTATGGTAAAGGAATATTAGTTTCAAATAGATCCTAGACTATTAAAGCTGGGTTAGGGACTTTGGAGATGAAATGTTTTTTTATTTGCTCATAAAAGATGAATTAAAGTTTCCTGAATAGTAGATCATTTTATCAGGGTGTTACATGATTCTATGATGAGGTAAAATCTCTTAATTTAATACATTAAAACTCAAACCTGACAAGTTTTAAACAATACTGAATGTACGTAGTTAATTTGGTCTTTTACTTTTTAGAGTTTGGTAGTAAGTGTGAAGTTAAGACATACTTAGCATTTTTTAAAAAAAAATTAAACTCTTTACTTGCAATTATAGAAAGTTAAAGTATTATGTTTATTTTATAAGAAAAACTGATTTTCTAATTCCATGGATAGTTGAAATTTAGCTTAATTTCACTGTAATGTACATTTATCTATAAATACTCCAACTTAGAATTCTCCTGAGTATTGATATATATAAAACTTTGAAATTGTTTAAGGATCGGGACACACAAAAGATTCAGTGGATAGATCGCTTTATAGAAGAACTTCGCACAAATGACAAATGGGTCATTCCTGCACTGAAACAAATTAGAGAAATTTGTAGTTTGTTTGGTGAAGCACCTCAAAATTTGAGGTAAGACTTTTAAAACTAAACAATGTGAATATTTTTATGTTTTGTTAATAAATTATAGTTTGCAAAAGCAAATTTTTAAGAAAATTAGTGGGGGCTGGAGAGATTGCTCAGCGGTTAAGAACTCTGAATGCTCTTCCATAGGTCCTGAGTTCAATTCCCAACAACCACATGGTGACTCACAACCATCTATAGTGGAATCTGATGCCTTCTTTTCAAATAAAGGTGTACATGCAAATAGAGTGCCCATATACATAAAGAAATCTTTTAAAAATTAATGGAGAGACAGGAAACTGAGAGAAGGCATCATTTGGAACAAAAGAAAAAGTCCTTGTCATTCCTACTTCCTTTGTTTCATTGATGAGGAAAGTGATCAGAATTGAGGTGATACTGCTGTTTCAGGCTGTCACATGATAGTTTTCAAAAAATGTTTCTTAGTAAATTTTTAAAGTTGATTTAGAAGATTGAATTACACAGAAATTTAAATGATAGTAGATGACATGATAAAGCCTTGAACTTTTTAATATCAGTCTTTACATATACTCTCTTAGGCCAGGCATGGTGGTGCCCAACCACTCAGGAAACAGAGGTAGATAGATTTCTGTGGTCAAGGCGAGGGTGGTTTCTACAGTTCCAGGCCAGCCAGGATGAAATAGTGAAACCTTATTTCAAATAAACAAAATTAGGAGCTAGAGAGACGGTACAGAGGTTAAGAGTACTGGATACTCAGAGAACTCAACTTCAGCTCAAGACCATCTGTAACTCCATTTCAGGGAATTCCATGCCCACTTCTTGCCTCAGTCGGGACTGCACATACGTGTTGCCCAGATAAAAATGTAGGCAAACACTCATACACATGTAATGAAAATAAATATTTTTAAAAGAAGAAACAAAGTAAGTTAGTGATTGAAATAAATGTACTATCTTAGATTCCAAAATATGCTTACTGAAATGAGTTGCCCTCTAACTTGTTTCTGGGAACAGAGGTAGAGTAGTTGGCAGAAAAATAAAGAAATGAGTATAGTGGTACCAATATTCATAAATTAGATGTGAACAAAACAATAGATACAAATTGGGGGAGGTAATGTTAGTCTGTTTTGAGTGTGTTTGGCCCAGTGTACATACACCACTTGATCTTTCTCAAATCTATTGCTTCCAGGTAAACATTGTATTCAGCTACTCTCCTAGAAATTAATGACTTTATCTATACTAGAATAGTAGTATTAGCTATAAAAATTGACTAGCTTCAGAGAATGTGACAAAACAAATTGGAAAGTAGTTATCTTTCTGATGACAAGAACAACTTAGCAACAAACCAAATGTTCCCAGTGTGTAGCTTTACATATCTAATACTTTTTTTTTTTTGGTGGGTGTAGGGAATGGGGACTGATGTTACATTGTTTGTGTGGTAGTTGAAATACAACCTTTAAGGGGTCAGTTTTCACCTTCCACAGTGAGAATAATGAAGATCAGACTCAGGTTTTCAAACTGGGTGTCAAGTAACTTCCTCCTTAGCCATCTCTCTATTCTCTAAAAAAATTTATAAAAACATTATTAACTAGCAATTACAATGCTATAGTTATACAAAGAAGTTTAGATTTTTGTAATTTTTAAATAACCGTGTCCTAACACAAATGCTTTGCTACTACCATATTATAAGAGTAGATATAGTCATTGAAACAGGCTCCTTGTGAAGTAAATAGAATCTGATGCTTGATTTTCAAGTAATCAATATATTTCTGTTTTTGATACATAAATTTCTTTTAAATTACTTAATATTGTCATTGAAGGAACTAAATGAGCAAAACAGGCTTTTGAATTTTTTAATTGGTAGCTAAGAATTTAGTTGTAAGAAACTCTTGATTGCAACAGAGTTTAATTGCCTAATTATATTGTTAAGTTCTTCTCGTTTCAGTCAAACTCAGCGAAGTCCCCATGTATTTTATCGTCATGACTTAATCAATCAACTTCAGCACAATCATGCCCTAGTTACCTTGGTAGCAGAAAACCTTGCAACTTACATGGAAAGCATGAGACTGTATGCCAGAGGTATGTATTTATTGTAAGATAACTGAATGATGGCAAGTAACAGTAATTGTTTTCCACTTATTATCTTAGGAATAGCACTTAATATTAAAAAACCTCAAGACAGTATGAATCCTTATTGTGATGTAAGATACACATTGACTCCCAGATCTTATATAATCTTAAACATCAGTCTAGGGTTGAAAGCTTTTTATTCAGTATTTGCCTTCCCTGGTTAAATATGGTTTCTTTTTCTTCTCTACTTGGAGCTCTGCCAGTCACTACTAAGAATCGTAGGACCTTTTGGATATGTATGCACCTGTTTTGTTTTATTAGTACACCACCATCACTTTTTAAGAAAACGTTTTCTGGGGGCTGGAGAGATGGCTCAGAGGTTAAGAGCATTGCCTGCTCTTCCAAAGGTCCTGAGTTCAATTCCCAGCAACCACATGGTGGCTCACAACCATCTGTAATGGGGTCTCGTGCCCTCTTCTGGCCTGCAGGCATACACACAGATAGAATATTGTATACGTAATAAATAAATAAATATTAAAAAAAAAAGAAAACGTTTTCTGTAAGCTTTTTTTTCCTGTAAGCCTTATGTCAACATTTCGCCTTCTAAACACAGCTGTGTCAGAATCTTTTCACTAGTGTGTTTCTTAGTACACATTCTCCTGTTTTATGCCAAATTTATAGTTCAACACTCCCCAAAAAAATCAAAACCGTGTTATAGGTTCTGATTTGTTCCCATGGCCTTAGAGAACTTTATATAGTATCTGTAGCATAAATTCTAATTGGTATTAATAGTAAAAACACAGAGTCAGATATAGAGGTTAATGCTGAAGATCAGAGAAGCAGAGCAGCCAGTCCCTAGAGAGTTCTTAACTTCTACCAATGCTTAGACCAAAAGGGTGATCCTGCGTTCAGACTGCATGCCTTCTCAAACTGCACTGAGCTCCTGTCTCTTCCCACCTTATATTCCCCTCTCTGCCCAGCCATATCACTCCTGTCTCCAGCTCCTTAGTACTGGTATTAAAGGCGTGTGATCACGCCTTTGTGTGAGCTGTGTTTCTCTTTGAGACTGGATCAATTTTTTGTATACCAGGGTGGCCTCTGTCTTACTAGTTCTGGGATTAAAGGTGTGTGCCACCACTACCTGACCTCTAGTAGCTTAGCTTTGCACTCTGATCATCAGACAAGCTTTATTTGTTAAACCACAAACAAAATATCACTACAAGTATCGGCCCTACAGGCTCAATTAGGCATGGTTCCTATATATACCATTCATTTGAAACTTTATAGGACCTACAGTGGTGTATATTAAAAATGAGGCTATTTGTAATACTATTTCAGTAGAATGAACTTAGCATTGAATGAGATTCATGGTGCTTATAAATCAACAAACTTTTTTTAACATAAAAAATTCAGAGCCGTGCAGTGATGGTGCATACCTTTAATCCCAGCACTCAGGAAGCAGAGACAGGTGGACTTCTGAGTTTGAGGCCAGCCTGGTCTACAAAAATAGTTCCAGGACAGGCACCAAAACTACACAGAGTAACCCTGTCTAAAATAAACCAAAACAAAAAAGCAGATAAACATAATAAGAAAGCAATTCTTAAGATAGCCCTACTGATTTTGTTAGCCCTGCTCTTAAATTTCTCCCTTTTGGGCCAGGTAAGTCCTTCTTGATAAGGTGTCAGGAAACAGTTAAAGAATCAGGCTACTGAGGACACCAAATGGTGATCTTTGATCATTTTAGTCTTAAGGTCCTTCTCATCACCACATTGAAAGCCATATAGGTATGCAGCCATATGGTCTAAACGTTCTATACCGAAAGAAAGCCGAAATCAATGAGAAATAAGGTTATAAGCACTATACACAGACATTCAAACATTGGGATTTAATTAATCAGAATTTTTATATGATCTCTTTGGTGATTCAAAGCTATTGTAATTATCAACACAGTCTTTGCCCCAGGTTAAGAGTCATACAGGTTGTGTGTGTGTTTTACTGCTGATTTTTATGTACTTGCATTTCATTGTCAGAGGTTGGGGAGTCTGCTCTTGGATACTTAAGTGGTACATGTGTAGTTTAGTTTCTATTCCATTTGAGTCAAATTCTCTGTGAATTATTGCCTCAGTTTCATAGTCACAAGAATGCTTGCATTCAAGTTTTTTTCTAATATTGTTTATTTCTGAGTGTGAATACTTGTCAGTTTGCATACATATTATACGAATCTGAAATAATGGCCCAAACATAGTATCTGTTACGACCTTGAATAAGTTATTTATACTAAAACAATATCTGGCACATAGTAAGGACTGGCTTTTTTCCCCTCTAAATTCATTGACATCACTCACCTTCTCGTACCATTTCTTCTTCTAACTCACAGCAGTGTTCTATTGAACACTAGTCTGTAGATATTTCAGTAGGGGCAAGTGGTAGTTTGGTTGGTTGGTTGGTTTGTTGTTTGGTTTTTTGAGACAGGGTTTCACTGTACCTTTGGAGAGGTAGTTTTTAAAACTACTAAAATCCTATTGAGCTCACATTAAGTTACTCCTGTGGTATTACCTGCCAATATTTCTGAATTTGCCACTGTGCAGTAAATTAGAGAATTTGCTTGTGCATAGTGAAGGTATCATGTGACTCTCATAGATAAGATGTTCAGCAGGCTAATGTCAGGCTTATATAGTTCACTGATAACTCTGAATTGCAGGTAACTGTTGTATCAGCATTAAGTATATGTAGGTGGGGTTTTTTGTTCTGCTAGCCTCTTCCCAAATAACCACATAGAGGCTTATTAATAATTATAAATACTTGGCTGATAGCTTAGGCTTGTTACTAACTAGCTCTTACAACTTAAATTAACCCATATTTCTTATCTGTGCTCTATCATGTGGTACCTTCTTCCCAGCATGTGTCTCCTGGCAACTCTTCTCTCCTCCCGCACACTCTTTTTTGTCCACAAGTCCCACCTAATCACTACCTATCCAACTGTTGGCCATTCAACCTTTAATAGACCAATGAGAGCAACAGATATTTACAGTATACAGAAACATTGTTCCACAGCAAGTATATGTTCTGTTCATGTTTCATCACCAAAAGCATCTTCAGCTTGGGAATGAGTGGGCATATCCTTAGTCAAATGATCAGCAGATTCTACCTTCTGCTTTTGGGTGTCCGTGTCTCCTCTCCCTCCTCACACAGGGTCTTGCTATGTAGCTTTAGCTGTCCGGGAATCTGCCTCCCTCTGTCTGCCTCCTGAGTGCTAGGACTGAAGGTGTGCACCACTATGCCCAGCTCCACCTATGTTAGCATTCTTCGATAAAGGAAAGTAGACTTAATAAAAATTGTTACCAATATTTGTTTATGTTGTAACTACATACTAGTGCTGTTACATGCTGGTGCTTGCCAATCTTGAAATTTTTCTGTGCATACAGCCAAGTGTAAACCTGTCATTTATCACTGAAGTTTTAATAGGTAATTTAATTGGAAGTTTTAATTGGTATCCTAAATGGTAGGATAGTTAATGTGCTGACCTGAACACTTATGGAAATGTGATTTACATAATTTACCATCATTTTTCCATGCTTATCATCAACTGTGAAGTACTAAGTCTATATGGTTTCTTCCTGGCTTCAAAGAAAATTTAAAAAAATAGCCTTTTGTCAGCATTTCTACCTGCCTAGAGAAATAGAGATGTTTTCAGGCCTGGAACAAGGACATCTTGCTGGAAAAAGTATGAAAGTGACTAATAAATTGTGTTTATGTCCAAAAGATGAAGGATTTGGCTTTTCTTGGTCAAAGCAGAATCAAAATAATGAAAATAACTGTACCTATTGAGTAAATAAAATATGATTATACTCATATAAAGTAAAATACTAAACATTGGATAAAAAGAAAGTAAGGAATTGTAGGATTTAACTTCTAGAGTTGAATAAATAAAAGACTCAGTTGACCTTATCAAATATAAAAGTTAAAGTGCCTAGAAGTTGCTGTAAGGAGTTTTAACAAATAAGATCCAAATCTCAGAAATAAGCACTTGAGCCACAACTTGCTTGTCTCCTGTCAACTTCACCATGTGGAAACTGTTCTGGACTGGATTGACTAAGAAATAGTTCTCTCACCACATGGCTCCTAGTGTAGGAGTGCACTTAGCCTTTTGTACAGCAAGCTGCTGATCTTTTCCTTTGTTTATTCATTTTTTATTGATTTTTATTGAGCTCTACATTTTTCTCTGTTCCCCTCCCTATTTCTCCCCCCATTCAGTCCTACTCCCAAGGTCCCCATGCTTTCAGTTTATTCAGGAGATCTTGTCCTTTTCAACTTTCCATGTAGATTAGATCTATGTAAGTCTGTCTTAGTGTCCTCATTGTTGTCTAAGTTCTCTGGGATTATGGTTTGTAGGCTGGCTTTCTTTGCTTTATGTTTAAAAACCACCCATGGGTGAGTACATGTGATAATTGTCTTTCTGGGTCTGGGTTACCTCATTCAAAATAATGTTTTCTAGCTCCATCCATTTGCCTGCAAAATTCAAGATGTCATTATTTTTTTCTGCTGTGTAGTACTCCATTGTGTAAATGTACCACATTTTCCTTATCCATTTTTTGGTCGAGGGGCATTTAGATTGTTTCCAGGTTCTGGCTATGACAAACAAGCTGCTATGAACATAGTTGAGCACATGTCCTTGTGGCACGATTGAGCATCCTTTGGTTATATACCCAAAAGTGGTATTGCTGGGTCTTGAGAAAGGTTGTTTCCTAATTTTCTGAGAAATCACCACACTGACATCCAAAGGGGTTGTACCAGCTTGCATTCCCACCAGCAATGCAGAAGTGTTCCCTTTTCCCCACAACCTCTCCAGCATACGTTGTCATCAGTGGTTTTTATCTTGGCCATCATTACAGGTGTAAGATGGAATCTCAGAGTTGTTTTGATTTGCATTTCTGTGATGAGTAAGGATGTTGAACATTTCCTTAAGTGTCTTTCAGCCATTTTAGATTTCTCTGTTGAGAGTTCTCTGTTTAGGTCTGTACTCCATTTTTTTAAATTTTATTATGTGATCTTTTGGTGTCCAATTTTCTTGAGTACTTTGTATATTTTGGAGATCAGACCTCTGTCTGATGTGGGGTTCGTGAAGATCTTTTCCCATTCTGTAGGCTGTCGTTTTGTCTTGTTGACCGTGTCCTTTACTTTACAGAAGCTTTTCAGTCTCAGGAGGTCCCATTTATTAATTGTTTCTCTCAGTGTCTGTGCTACTGGGGTTATATTTAGGATGTGGTTCCCTGTCTGTGCCAATGCGTTAAAGTGTACTTCCCACTTTGTCTTCTATAAGGTTCAGTGTGGCTGGCTTTATGTTGAGGTCTTTGATCCATTTGGACTTGAGTTTTGTGCATGGTCATATCCAGTTATGCCAGCACCACTTGTTAAATATGCTTTCTTTTTTCCATTTGATATTTTTTGCTTCTTTATCAAAGACCAGGTGTTCGAAGATGTGTGGATTGATATCCTGGTCTGCTATTCGGTTCCATTGGTCTTCCTGTCTGTTCTTATGCCAGTACCAGGCTGTTTTCAGTACTGTAGCTCTGTAGTAGAGTTTGAAGTCAGGAATTGTTAAGCCTCTAGAAGTTCTCTTATTGTACAGGATTGTTTTGGCTATCCTGAGTTTTTTGCTTTTTCGTATGAAGTTGAATACCATTCTTTCAAGGTCTGTGAAGAATTTTGCTGGAATTTTGATGGACATTGCATTGAATCTGTAGATTGCTTTTGGTAAGATTGCCATTTTTACTATGTTAATTCTATCTGCCGAAGAGCATGAGAGATCTTTCCACTTTTTGGTATCTTCCTCAATTTCTTTCTTCAAAGATTTAAAGTTCTTGTCATACATGTCTTACACTTGTTTGGTTAGAGTTATTCAGAGATATTTTATGCTATTTGTGGCTATTGTGAAGGGTGATGTTTCTCTGATTTCTTCCCCAGCCCTTTTAACATCTGTTGTACAGGGCAGCTACTGATTTTTTTTTTTTTAGTTAATCTTGTGTCCTGCTACATTGCTGAAAGTGTTTATGAGTTGTAGAAGTTTCTTGATAGAATTTTTGGGGTCGCTTATGTAAACTATCATATTATCAGCAAATATTGAGTATTTGACAACTTTTCCGATTTGTATCCCCTTGATCTCCTTTTGGTGTCTTATTGCTCTAGCTAGGACCTCAAGAACTATATTGAATAGATATGGAGAGAGTGGACAACCTTGTCTTGTTCCTGATTTCAGTAGAATCGCTGGGAGTTTCTCTCCATTTAGTTTGATATTGGCTGTTGGCTTGCTGTATATTGCCTTAATTATGTTTAGGTGTGTTCCTTGTATCCCTGCTTTCTCCAAGACCTTTATCGTGAAGGGATGTTGTATTTTGTCAAACTTTTTCAGCATCTAATGAGATGATCATGTGGTTTTTATTTTGCAGTTTTTCTTATATGGTGGATTACATTGACAGATTTTCGTATGTTGAACCATCCCTGCATCTCTGGGATGAAGCCGACTTGATCATGGTGGATGATGGTTCTGATGTGTTCTTGGATTCGATTTGCCAGTATTTTATTTAGTGTTTTTGCATCAATGTTCATGAGTGAAATTGGTCTGTAATGTTCTTTGTTAGTAATGTCTTTCTGTGGTTTGGGTATCAGGGTAATTGTAGCCTCATAAAAAGAGTTTCACAATGTTCCTTTTGTTTCTGTTGTGTGGAATAATTTGAGAAGTATTGGTATTAGTTCTTCTTTGAAAATCTTGTAGAATTCTGAGCTGAAACCATCTGATCCTGGGCTTTTTTTGGTTGGGAGACTTTTGATGACTGTTTCTATTTCTTCACTACTGACCTTTATATCCTTAGTCTTTTGCTACAAAAGCCCTCTTATAGGCAGAGTGGCTCAAAGGACTCTTCATTACCCTGCCTATTTAGTGCCTATTTAAAGTGAAACATAACTCAAAATAGGGCCCTAATTACCCCCACCATAGCTACCTCCAGTACTCCATATCAGGGGACATTAGTGGCCCTATTTTCATCCCAACATCTAATGATTCTCCAAGGGATATCGTTCTTGGAGAAGTGGCTGCTGTTCTACCCGCGTCCTAGCTGGTATCGGACATTCTGTCCGAAGGGAAGAGTTCAACAGTTGATTATACCTGAAGAAACCAGAACATTTCATGGCAAGTGAATTGTCTACAAAAAGTGGAAATGGGTGAAAAACAACTATAAGGATGGTTGTAAGCGCCCTTTTACTGTTGTCATCAAGTGAAACAGTCCAGCAAACAGGCAAAATTAGCCCTTTTGTGATCCTAGTCTCACTAAGGGCTCAGAAATGGTGCATGAGTGCATTTCACACTGTACCACTGGATATGGAACAGACTGAAAGTTTTCCCAGATGAGCTATGGATGGCTAATAAGAACTTTAAAAGATAATCAGTATCATTGAAGAAATTGAATCAGAAACACGGTAAGAGTACATCACTCCTACTAGGCTCATCGGACAACACTTGGTATTGCTGTGACTGTTCAAAAAAATGGAGCTTCATTCTTTGTGGGCTCGTAAATTGGCACAGCCACTTTACTAATTATACTGGCAGTTCCACAGAATATTAAACAGAATTTACCATAGTATAGCCCATACTCAAGTAAAATGGAAACAAATGTAAAAACTTGAATGTGAATGTTCATAGCAAACTTTGTAATAGCCAAAATGTATAAATAATCCAAATGTCTTAGTTGATTACATACTTAATAAAAGTGATATGTCCATACAGTATTATCCAAAATATTACTCAGAATATCAAAAGAGTAACATGCTACAACACATGAATCTTGAAAACATGCTAATTGGCGGGAATGCACCCAGAAAAGACTATATGAAAGGCCTTAGGGTTTGGTATGGGAAGAAAATGGAGATTCGTGTTGTATTTGAGGTGAAAAATGTAGTACAAGACTGATGATAATTACAAAACTCCTAAAAATCTAAAAATTTAAAGTTGGTAGGTTGCTTATGATGGAAGTATATTTTGTTTAAGTCTTTTTAACAGGAGGACTTGTTTTAGATGTATTTTTTTATTTTATATGCATGAGTGTTTTGCCTGCATGTATGTATGCAGCATATATATGTCTGGTGTCTAAAGAGGTCAGAAGAGTGCATCAGATCTTCCTGGATCTGGGGTTACAGTTTGAGCCACCATGTGCTATGCTGGGAATTGAACCCAACTTCTACAAGAGCAACAAGTGCTCTTACCCACTGAGCCAGTTTTCTAGCCCCAAGTTAATTTTTTATAATACATTCTGAAATGACTCCCAGAACTTGATATTTAAAATAAGAACTGATTTATGTTGGTTCCCAGCTGTGATTTATTAGCACTTCCCACCCATTTTCAGAGATAACTGAATTGATCATATATATTTCCTCCATGGAATACCTGCCATACAGACAACACAAGTCAGCAATGGATTGTCTTTATTTGCTAACAAATCAAGGAACTGTTAGGACTGAATATTTACAGTCAAAGTATCAACTTTCGTTTGGTATTTTGCTTTGAGACAAATTTCTCTGTTTATCCCTGCCTGGCCTGTAACTCAACTATGTGGACCAACCAAACTCATACTTTTAAAGATCTGCCTGCCGCCTCTGCCTCCTCAGTGCTGAGACTAGAGGTGTGTACCAGCATGCCAAGCTTATCTGTTTTTAATAGTCTGGTACTTCTCTGTATAAGGCCTCTCTTTCATATAGCACAAAGCTACTGTCACATTTCTTCACTTTCCTTGATTGTTTGGCTTTTGTTGAATTTTTTCAAAGCTCTATGTCCAAGGTGTTAGGAATTAAACACAGAATAGAGCTGGGCTTATGCTAAAGCTAGTGGGGGAAAGTAGCATCTTGACAATGGAGGAGCCTGATAAGAAACCATTTCAAATATGTAGTCAGCATGAGCATAGTGAGGATTGACATAAAGTGGCATAATACCAGGAGGGTGTAGCATCACTTCTCTAATATTCTTGGCCAGAATTTATAGCACATGAAAGAGGAAAGGGACTGCGTTGAAGAATTTTAATAGTACATTTAACAGATCATTTATTTTGGGATGCATCAAAGGGAAATATATTTTGCTAGAATATTAGATGGGTTGGAAAGCACCAATTATTAGTAGATTTCCAGTTACCTTATATAATGTTAGAAAATTAATGTGTTTTATGGTTTCTTTTTTGGTTTTCAAGATAGGGTTTCTCTGTGTAGTCTTGGCTGTCCTGGAATTCTTTTTGACCAGGTTGATCTCAAACTCACAGAGATCACCTACCTCTTGTCTCCCAAGTACTGGGATTAAAGATTACACCACCACCACCCTAGCCAGATTAAACTTTTTTTAAGCTGACCGGTCATTGGTTGAAATCAGCAGTGGTATGATTATTCATATTTTTCTTAATTTGTAGATCATGAAGACTATGACCCACAGACTGTGAGACTGGGAAGTAGATATAGTCATGTTCAAGAAGTTCAAGAACGGCTTAACTTTCTTAGGTTTGTTTGATATTTGACTATGTTGTCTTTGGTGGGGTGGGTTTTTTGTTTTGTTTTGTTTTGTTTTTTCTTTTGCCACATCTTATTTCCCCACATAAAAAGGTCCCATGTTTTCTTGTGTTGCTGAATGCTTTAAGATTAGTACCTGGGTTGTAACATTCTCATTATTTTAAGCTTTAGGGTAGACGTCTCATAAATATTTGTTTATGCTAGAAATGTTTACTCTTATTACAGGACATTTTTGTTTGTTTTTAAGAAAGAGTTTTTCTGTGTAGCCCTGGCTGTCCTGAAGCTCTCAGATAAAAACTGATGAGTTCTTTGAAAGAGCTGACATTTGTAGTTAAAAATATAAATGTGATAGAGGTATTATTTCATACATAAACAGGTAGGTTGCTTGTGTCAAATAAATTAATTTCTTTTTGTTTTTCAAGATTTTTATTGAAGGATGGCCAACTGTGGCTGTGTGCTCCTCAGGCAAAACAAATATGGAAGTGCTTAGCTGAAAATGCAGTTTACCTTTGTGATCGTGAAGCCTGTTTCAAGTGGTATTCCAAATTGATGGGGGATGAACCAGACTTAGATCCTGATATCAATAAGGACTTCTTTGAAAGTAATGTACTTCAGCTCGATCCTTCCTTATTAACTGAAAATGGAATGAAATGTTTTGAGAGATTCTTCAAAGCTGTGAATTGTCGAGAAGGAAAACTAGTAGCAAAAAGAAGAGCCTATATGATGGATGATTTGGAGTTGATAGGATTAGACTATCTTTGGAGGGTAAGTCAAAAGTAGGAGCTCTGTCAGCATTGCACCTGTTGTTCTTGAATAAATAACTATAACTAAATGTGTTGCATAAAGTATGTATGTATTATCTGATGCTTGTCCTAGGAGTCTGGGATTCATGGTTATCTTGCATTTCTGTGTTCCTTTTTTATATTATTTAACTTTTTAAAAAAAAACCTAGGAAAGTATGATGTTAATCATTAAGGCTAAAGTGTTTTATGTTTTATATTTCAGTCTTTTAAAAGTGGGTGGTACTCAGTTGCTTCTGTTTTTTATTTACATTTTAAATGTCTGCAAAGTATTTTGTGTAGTATTATTAGTGCTTAACAACTTCAAATAAGTAAAGCTTTGAGTTTTGTTTTGGTTTTGGTTTTGTTTATAAACAGTGGAAGGGCTTGAGAGGTAGTAGTACATACTTAACCATTGGAGATTTAGCCCAGGATTTAGTCTCTAGCACATATTTTAATATTACCCTTCTGTAAATCCAAATTTGCACTTTAGATACAGTAAGTGGGTGGTATATACTTGCAGGGTGGAGTATTTTGACTTCTAGGGTCGCCTGAGGCTACAGGTGTAGATTAAGCTTCTGATTTCTAAAAGTAATAGCAATAATCAAACTTGACATAATCTAAAATGTAAACATAGTTGAATAAAGAAAGCCTGTGTATTTTTGTTCATTGTCTCCAGGCTTCTTCATTCACCTTGCCCTCTCTAGTCCTCTCAACAGGGGTCAGCCTTGACACACTTCATCTAAACCCTATAGTTTTGAATATAGTTTGAAAGCCATAAGTGTAATAAGGTGTGAATTTTAAATATTATGGAACTGAGAGACAAAGGGAGAATTTTTATACTAAACTGTATTTTTATGTAGCATCTTGTTTTCCTCTAGTTTGAATTCCTTCTTGAAAGACTGAGCGTTTGGTCAAAGCATATTTTATTTGTAGTAAAATGTCATTTATTCTTAAATTTCTTTATTCAAACAGTTGCATCTTGCATTTTTTCTTTATTTTGATCTGTTTGTATCGTTTACTCAGTCAACTTAACCTTTATGTTGTTAGTATAATTGGAAATAACTAAGGATATGATTTGAATTTAAATGCTCAACTAAAACATTTCTTGAGAAACACTAATCTTTTTTTTTTATGTAGGTTGTAATTCAGAGTAATGATGATATTGCCAGCCGAGCTATAGATCTCCTTAAAGAGATATACACAAACCTTGGTCCAAGGCTGCAGGTCAATCAGGTGAGGATCAGTGTGCATTAAGTTCTAGAGTTCTAGTTGATAGAACTGTAATGCTTATAAGATTTTTTTCTTTTAATTTAGAATTATAACATATAAAACATATGAAAACTGGGTGTGATGGTATGTGCCTATAATCTTGGCATCTGAGAGCCTGAGGGAGGAGAATTAGAGGTTTTAAGTGATCTTGGATTATATAGTGACACTTTACATCAAAATCCATACATTCGTAAAATACCAAGTTCTTATATCTCTTATATGGAATACTATCTAAGTGAATCTTACCTTGAGAGTGATCTTGAAATGGTTGAATTATTTTGATGTTTATTATATTGCAATAGTAAAGACTGTACTGAGTTTATTTTCATAACCAGTTACATAATCCTCTAAATGTCTTTCTTAAAATATCATTTGTTCTTAACTTATTTTGACACTAGCTTCCTTTTAACAACCATAGACTATCTGCTTAAATATGATTATTTAGAGCAACATTGTTAGGTGTTCTCATCTCTTTATTTGTCGCATTATATTTGTAGGTGGTGATCCATGAAGACTTCATTCAGTCTTGCTTTGATCGTTTGAAAGCTTCTTATGACACGCTGTGTGTTTTGGATGGTGACAAAGACAGTATTAATTGTGCAAGACAGGAAGCTGTTCGAATGGTTAGAGTATTAACTGTTCTAAGAGAATACATAAATGAATGTGATAGTGATTATCATGAAGAAAGAACAATTTTGCCTATGTCAAGGTATGTGAATAACTGATCAACTGAGATTATTTTTTAGTCATTTGATATTTTCCTAGCCATTTTTTTAAATGTACAAGGAAAAAAAGAAGAAATTTATCTTCTTGAAAAATGTGTCTTGCCCTTTAAAAACATAAGTATTATATGGAAATGTTTACCTGTGTTTGAGGTAGAACAGTTTATTAGGAAAGAAAACATCCCCAAGAGAGGAAGTGGGTCAGACCTTATATGTCTTTTTTAAAAGTGTGTGGGATTGTTTGTTTTGTTTAAACATATTCGCAGTTTGTAGCAAGCTATTTTGTGTGTGTAGTCATGCACATGCCATGGTTTTGAGTGTGGAGATCATATGACAGTTTGAGAGATCAGTTCTTTGCCATTTACTCTTTGGGTCCTTTGGGTCCCAGGGACCAAACTTGGGTTCTTAGGTTTGGTAGCAAGCTCCTTTACGTGTTCATAGGCCCAAGTTTCAATATAATTGTGTCTTATATACACATGTATGTATGTAGGATGGACCCACCATGCTCACTTATGGAAGCAAGAGGTGGAATTTGGTTGTCCTGTCAGACAAGGACAACCTTGTCTTGTCCTTGTCCTTTCAGACAAGGTTTCTCACTGAACCTGGAGCTAAACTGGCAACAAACCCTAATCATTCTGTCTTTGCCACCCACATTTCTAGAGTTACAAGTGCTTCTAACTTTTTAATGTAGGGAGCTGGGAAATGAGCTAGGATCCTCATGCTTCATGCTTGTACACCAAGCACTCTTAACCACTGAGCTATACCTTCAGCCTCTGTTTTATAGTTGTTTACACTGTTAAACACTATAGCAAGCCTCTTAGTCCAATGCTCCAGAAGCATAGGCGGGGGGACTGTTACAGATTTGGAGCTAACTTAGCCTGGTCAATATAATGAGTTTCTAGACCAACCAAGACTCTATAGTGAGATTCTATTACAAAAAAAAAAAAAAAAAGAAGAAGAATATAGTGCATAGTTACTTCTTTTGAGTGATTGCCTACATGTATGTATGTGTTCCATATGTGTGCCTTGGAAGTCAGAAACAAGCAGTAGATCCCTCAGACTGAAGTTACAGACATTTGAGCCCTGTGAGATGAGCTGTCAGGCAGGTTCTAGGAACCTAACCTGGTTCTTCTGTACCTTGTGTCAAACAACAACAAAATAGCATACTCGGATTGAAAAGTAATTGGAATGAAGTCTTAAAAACTGACTGTCAGGTAACCAATATAGCCAAGAAATATTTTCAAAATCTCAGATAATACTTCTTTTTAGGTTTTACCATTTAGTAATTCAAATGATATTTATGTAGTTGTCCTTGATGAATATAATTTCCCTTTTTGTATCATACCTTCAAGATAATATGCCAACAAATTTTAGTTTTGCATTTGGTGGGGGGAGCAATTCTGAGTGGTAGTGCATGCCTTTAATCCCAGCACTCAGGCAGAGGATGGCAAATCCTTCTGAGTTGAAAGCAATTTGGTCTACATGGCAAGTTCCCGGCCAGCCAGAGCTACACAATGAGACCCTATCTCAAAAATAAATAAAATTCAGGCAAAATGTGTGACAGCTTTTTTGTTGCTGCTCTCAAGGTTAATCTTATCTTGCACATTTGTAAATAGCAAGAATTAGTGAGACTTTACAAGCATAAAAGTTAATAAACTATTACTATATCTGTTTAATTTGGGAGCTGGTTGGACAGAGTTGCTTTAGGTTGCTCATCCTGGTCTGAAATTTATAATCCTCCTTCTTCATCAGTGACTGAATTACTGAAATGAGGCGCCATATCTGACATTTATATTAATTTCTTCTAGGTCAGTATATCATTTTATGCAGCCATGGGTAATAACAATGAAATATAGTCATTCTGTTTTGAATATTGCAGCATTTATAGTTAAAAACAATTTGTAGGGCAGTAAAAAGTCTTAAGTTTACTTCCTTTTGTTTAATAAGAAAATACTTAATGCTAAATTTTCATATTTTTTTCTTGGCAGTTAAATTTGAAAATTTGCTAAATATGATTTTTTTTTTTTAATTTCTTTTCCCCACCAGAGCTTTCCGTGGTAAACACCTCTCTTTTATAGTTCGATTTCCAAACCAGGGCAGACAAGTAGATGACTTGGAAGTTTGGTCTCATACAAATGATACAATTGGTTCAGTTCGACGTTGTATTCTCAATCGCATTAAAGCTAATGTAGCTCATACAAAAATTGAACTCTTTGTGGGTGGTGAGCTGATTGATCCTGGAGATGACCGAAAGTTGATTGGACAATTAAATCTAAAAGATAAATCAGTAAGTATATATAGTTACCAAAAGAAAAAATTTAATAGAACCTCAGACTGTATTTCATTGTTAAATATTTGTTAGATGTTAAGCTTATAACACTAACTCAAACATTAGGATACTTAGAATATATCAAAACAAGTAGTTACAAGAGTACTTTTGAAAATATTAGCATCTAGTTTTGTTTTTTGTATATGAGTTTTTTTAAAAACTTTTATGTCTTTGCACCATATGTGTGCCTGATGCCCTTTAAGATCAGAAGAGAGGGCATTGGATCCCCTGGAATTGGAGTCACAGACAATTGTAAACTGCTATGTAGGTGCTGAGAATTGAACACAGGTCCCCTGCAAAAGTAGCCAGTGTTCTTAATCACTAAGCCAGCTCTCCCAAGTCCAGCATCTGTAGTTTTTTTGATTCATTTGTTTTCTTGTTTTATATGGGTTTTTCCCCATTTTTGATTCTAATATATATCATTTTCAGCTAATTACAGCCAAACTTACACAAATAAGCTCCAATATGCCTTCAAGTCCTGATAGCTCTTCTGATTCCTCAACTGGATCTCCTGGAAACCATGGTAATCATTATAGTGACGGCCCCAATCCAGAAGTGGAAAGCTGTTTGCCTGGAGTGGTGAGTAGATTCAGTTGTGCAAGGCATTATGCTAGAGTTGTTGGGAATAATCCAATACCTAAAAGTTTCTTTGCTGTTGAGGAACTCTTTAATGAGACAAAATATCTACAGAATTATGTATTTAAATTTCAGTGAAGCCCTCTGCAAGATAACCCTGTAGTTACTATTTGCTTATACTTGCATATAGTTAATCTGTTGGAGTTAAATTGGAACACTTGAATATATAAACTTAGAAAGCTACTACTGTCTTACATACTTACCCTGTAAAATGGATCCTTTCAAAACTTCATATGTAGTGAAGTATCTGTAATCTTTCTCAGACTGTATCCAAAGAAACAGTGATATCTCCCATTCTTGACCTCTTCTTTCACCCCTCCTCATAAGAACTTTAATGTCTTTAATAACAAGCCACTCCAGTATAAGAACAAACTGGTTAGGAATTTATTAGTGGCATGTCTAGAGTCATCTGAAGTTATATGCAGGTGAAAAGAAATACTTAAAAAACTCTTGCAGATGTTCCTCAGATGATGTGCTAGGTCTGCATCATGAAGAATTTGTAAAGGTAAGGTGAAGAAGAACAACAGGTGCAATTTATGGAGATTTTAAATTTTAGGGAGACCTTTTTGAAGCCAAGGAATAATATACAGGTAATTTTGTGTATTTTGTGTTCTAGATTATGTCACTTCATCCCAGATACATCTCTTTCCTTTGGCAAGTTGCAGACTTAGGGAGCAGCCTAAATATGCCACCTCTTAGAGATGGAGCAAGAGTGCTTATGAAACTTATGCCACCAGGTAAGATGTTTTCAATGATGACATAATGCATGCTAACAATAAACTGTGTGTGTGTGTGTGTGTGTGTGTGTGTGTGTGTGTTGTGTGTGTGTGTTGTGTGTATTATATGTATATAAACATTTTTCTGGAGGTGCGGGTTTCTCTGCCTTTTGTCCTGGGATTAAAGGCATGCACCACCACTGCCCAACTTGAAAGTGTCTACATTTTTAATGGCTAAAATAAAACCAAAAGATATCTCTTGAGGATCTTGTGAAATGGCTCAGTGAATGAAAGTGTCCCTCCAGACCTATTGAACCTGTAGTTATATACCAGAACCCACATGGTAGAAGATAACAGACTCCCTTCAGCTATCCTCTGACATCCACACATTTGCCATTCACTCACACATATACACATACAAATGGTAATAAAATTTCAAATACTTACTTTTAATACCAGATTTTATGAAATTTAAATCTTCATATCCTTTATACGTTTTGCTGGTGTACAGACACACTCATTCATTCATATATTGTTTGCAGTTTTCTGTCAGTTAACAGCCAAGAACTGAGTAGCAGAGATCATGTGGTCCCAAACCCTAAAATATGTACCATGGCCATTTGTAGAACCTGATTGCCTAGAACCGGTAAGATGGCTCAGCAGCTAAAAGTGCTTGTCACCAGTCTTAAAAACCTGAATTTGATCCCTGGAACCTACCCTCACAGTGGAAGAAGAGACTAGTCTCGAACTCGGAGATTTGGCTTATCTCTGCCTCCTGAGTGCACCACCACCTGGCCCACCTTGGATAATATTGACAGCTCTATAGTGTTTGCTTCCTCTTCTTTTCACATTGTTGGCTTAATGTATCATTTAATTCATCCACATAATGTTTGAAGCCATCTTGTGCTTCTCTTAACCATTGTTTTCTAAAGTAAACACCATGTTCTGACATAAGCACATTGTTGTCTGGTTACTATGGGACAGAGTAAATTTACATAATAGATTACCAGCTTAGACTCCTCAATTCAATTTAGTCCTGACCTGCTAATGGCAGTTTTTGCTTTGTGTGTGCAAATTCAACCTCCACAACATTGTTTAAAAACACAAACCCACAGCAAAGCCTTGAGCTTGTGATTTGAACTTCCTGCCACCAGATGGAGACAGTGAGCCAGTAAGATCAGGCAAAAGCAAAACAACAACAACAAAAAAAACCATCAAGATTACCTTTTTTTATAAAATCAATATCTGGTGCCTAAATTGGACCATTAAGATTAACTTAGAGGGTAATGGTACTTACTACACAAACCTCATGACCAGAATTCCATCCCTAGAAAACACATAAAAATGGAAGCAAGTAAATTAACTCCAAAAAGTTTTATTCAGACTTCTTCTACACATGAACAATGTCATTGTGTACTCACACAGCTTGCATGATTGATGAACTTTTTAAAATCAAACTATAATGTCTAAATTTGAAACAGTATTTGGTTAAAGTATGTATTGCTTTATACATAACATACATGCATGCATACATACATACATACATAGCAAAGCAGAATGAGTTGCTTTTTAAGAGCTACTTTCTTTAAGGAGTTTAATGTAAAGAGTATGTAAACATGCCAAAGTCTGTTGTAAGGTCTTCATTCTCTTATTGTTTTGTTTATGTTTTTGAGGCACGATCTTACTTTGTAGGTTTTGCTGGCCAATAATTCACAGAGATCCACCTGCCTGTGCCTCCACATTGCTTGGATTAAAAGCTACTACCACCCTGATTGGTTAGACTTACTTTTTTTTTTAAATAATGCATTGCTTTCGGTATATAATTGCTAATATTTAGGTATCCTTTAGAGACTCTAGGGGGGAAACATTAACCTAAGGTAGACGCTTACAGACTGCCCACACGTATAGTTAGAAGCCTGCTTACTGTTCTGAATTACTCAAAAAAGCGTAAGTTTTCCTTTACTTCTTTTCTAAACATGCTTTCCTTAACACTTGGAAATCTTAAATCTTCCTCTAAAGCTTCCCTCCCTGCATGTAGCTTGTTGTTTACCACATGTCTGACCTCTATGACAGCTTAAATTGCATGACTTTTTTTCTTCTTTATTTGCCTCCTTCAGGTAGCTACTGAGGTTTTACAACTTGCCTGTCCTGAGGTTATTTTTTTAGCTCTGATAAAATTGTCCTTCATCTTTTTTAAAAAAAAAAAAAAAGTAAATGACACTTGATGACAAGATTATGGGCAGATTAATTTTTTCCATCCATATTTTATATTTAAAAAGTTTGTATACGATCAGGGACCTAAAATTATTTAGGTGTGTGTGCACACCACAAAGCAATCCTTTGGTGCAGACTCTTCAGATAGATAAACTGTAAGCCAACAGCATTAAATGACTTGTTTAGAATTTGTTGCTTCCTTTTCAACTTTTTTGACAGGGTCTTGCTGAATATTTCTGGCTGACTTTGAGCTTTCTATGTAGACTATGCTAGCCTAGAACTCTTTGGCTGCCTCTACCTCCTGAGTATTGGGACTTAAGGCATGCACCACCACACTTGGCCTTAAACTTTAAAGATTTATTTATTATGTATACGGTATTCTCTCTACATGTATGACTTCAGACCAGAAGAGGGCACCAGATCCCAGCTCATATGGTTGCTGGGAATTAAACACGGGACCTCTGGAAGATGTCTAATGAGCCATCTCTCCAGCCCCAGGCCTTAAACTTTTTTCTTTTAACATTTGTTAAATTTATATATTCATTTTTTTGTGTAGATAACACAGTATTTATGTGGTGGTCAGAAATTAGTCAGATTATGTGGCTCAGAAATTAGTTTCCTCATACCACCATGTGAGTTATACGAATTGAACTCGGGTTATCCATCAGTTTGGTGGCAAGGACATTTACCTACTGAATCAGCTGAAATGAGCTTGTTTCTTCACTCCTACCTTTTGGTTCCATCCTACACTCAAGGTTTTTGATTATTTGTTTAATTGTTTTGTTTTTATTTGTTTGAGATAGAGTATCACTGTAGCTCCAGTTGTCCTCAAACTCACAGATTTATTTGCCTCTGCCTCTGCATTGAGATTAAAGGTATGCACCATGTGCCAGGCTCCTCCTCCACTTCAGTCTTCTTAAGGTTCAGTTTCTTGGGTACAATGATATCTATCACTCAGTGAAACAAACTAGGTAGGTAATATGTAATGTATTTAGGTAAACAGTAAATTTGGAGGAAAGAACTGTTCCTTTGGAAGTGTTTTTTGTTGCTTTGTTTTGTTTTGTTTTAAATTGGTCTCCAACAGCTGAATAGAGCATGTTGACTGGAGGCTTCTGGGATGAGAGACTGTTTCCTTGGGTAATTAAAAAGCCCTGGTTGGTGTTTTGTTTCTCTCTTATTTGTTTGCTTTTAAATCAACTCACATATGGTTCTGTGTTATAGAAGCTTAACTGAATGTACCTCAACTGAATTGTTTGCTGTTCCAAGCTTTTGAAAATATTAGAAGTGATAAAGGTGTAAATTGTGTTTTATTTCAGACTATGCTTTCTCTCTCTTTCTCTCCCTTACAGATAGTACAACAATAGAAAAATTAAGAGCTATTTGTTTGGACCATGCCAAACTTGGAGAAAGCAGCCTTAGTCCGTCTCTTGACTCACTTTTCTTCGGTCCTTCTGCCTCACAAGTGCTATACCTAACAGAGGTTGGTTTTTTGTTTTTTACATTTTGAATTTGAGTCTTGATCTTTAAATTGATCTTTGATGTGTTACTATGAAGAATGTGGATAAGATTAGATGGTTTTGAAACAGTAAAGAATGTCTTAGTCTTTGATATGGAGGTTATGTTTTAAATTTCTTTTAATACAATCCTTTTCTTCTCCCCCTCCCCCTTTTATTTTCAGGTAGTCTATGCCTTGTTAATGCCTGCTGGTGCACCCCTGGCTGAGGATTCCTCTGATTTTCAGTTTCACTTCTTGAAAAGTGGTGGTCTACCCCTTGTCCTGAGTATGCTAACCAGAAATAACTTCCTACCAAATGCAGATATGGAAACTCGAAGGGGTGCCTACCTCAATGCTCTTAAAATAGCCAAACTGTTACTAACTGCTATTGGCTATGGCCATGTTCGGGCTGTGGCAGAAGCTTGTCAGCCAGGTGTAGAAGGCGGGAATCCCTTGACATCGGTAATACAGACTGGTTTGGTTTTGCTTTGCTTTTAATTTCTAATAGTAATATAATTTTTAAGATTAAATTTCTCAGCGATTCTAAAGTTCAACTTTGATTCAGTGTTGAAGTGTTCTTTCCAAGTGGGTATCTTATGACTGTATTTGTATTAAGAGTATACTAGCTCTTCACTGGCTTCACTACTATTTTGGAGGGCGGTTCCGTCAGTTCCTTTCTGACCATTTGAGTTTTGTTTGGCTCTCACCGTAAACCTTAAAAAAAAAATCCCCCACATGTATGAATTTCTAACTTGTGTCAAGCAGATAAGATACCAGTGGTGTTGAGTTGTAATTCAGCCTTTTACCAGTTTTCTTTCTCACCTTCATTTGCTTAAACTTCAATTACGAAGTTGTCATTCTGTTTTTGCTTGTATGGCATGTTTGATCTATTTTGGTGAAATTCTCAAGATAAACTAGAGTTGATGCCTAGTTAAAGGTCAAACTATGAATTTAATTTTTTTTGAAGATTTGATTATTAGTGTACATTGGGGTTTTGCCCTAGAACTGGAGTTACAGACAGTTGTGAACTGCTGTATTGGGGCTGGGAATTGAACCCCAGTCCTTTGGAAGAGCAGCCAATGCTCTTAGTCTCTTGAACCATCTCCTCTGCACGTTAATTTTTAATAATATTTACTAAATTGCTGAAAGAAGACAAAAGTCTTTGGGGAATGGAGGCAAGAGGATTATTACATATTCAAGGCCAGCCTAGGCTACAGACCCTCTCTTTACAAACATCTGAAGGAACTTTTGTTTTTAGAAATTATTTATGTCTTAATTGGGGAGGAGTGGAATGTTGGTGATTATGATACGTAATTGTTTTGTATATGATAATACTGTGATAATATTTAAAGGAATAGCCTTTTTATTTCTGAAATGGTTCCAAATAATTTATAAATGAAGTGATGGATTTTTTTTTTGTTGTTGTTGCTCTTTTTTAGTTTCTGGGATACCTTGTTTTGGTTTTGGGGAAGGTCTTTTTTTTTTATTTGTTTTGATTTTTCAAAACAGGGTTTCTCTGTGTGACCCTGACTGTCCTGGAACTTGCTTTGTAGACCAGGCTGGCCTTGAACTCACAGAGATTCACCTGCCTCTGCCTTCCGAGTGCTGTGATTAAAGGTGTTCACCACCACCACCCTTCTATAAATGTAGTTTCATGATACCCAAAATTTGCCTAACAGCAATCCTAGAGTAAAGAGCAATAGAGATAGAAAATGAGAAGGAGTAATTAGGTAATTGACAATATCTACAGAATAATGAGTACCTTGGAGATAATTTTATTATCTTATTCTGACCACTTTCATATGTTAGAAGTTTTCTGTAAAGCAACCAGATGTGGTGGAAGTTTGTAGTCTCATTTAGAAAGCTAAAACAGGAGGATCACCAGTTTAAGGCCATAGTAGTATATGAAACAGACCTAAAAGAAAGGACCAAACTTTCCATAAAAGATGAAAATGACTAAAATTATGTATGTATATAGATACATGCATACATAATATCTATATTTTAAAGTAATCCTTAATAGGTTAAAAGGGAAAGACTGGTTCTGGGTAGGATAAACATTATGAGGAAGACCAAGAGTTTAGTTGGGATCCTGTATCTCACCCAATGAGGAAAGGGCTCTTGTTAGGATAAAAACAGATTCTTACTTTAATTCATGACGTGACTACTTAATGATGTATACAATACACACAAAAGCCAGTAGCATACTTTCTTTTCTATCTCTTCTATAATAGTTTGAGAATTTGCCAGTTGCAGATACTAAGGTATTATAATTGTCAAGTATTTGTGGACAGTTAAAAGCTTAGTGTAGGGATATCTTAAACATTTACAATACATAGAAGTTAGAACTCAAAGACAGAATTACTCAAACTACTTCATATGCTTCTTGTTCATTGAAAAACTTAGTATACTCTTAAGTAAAAATATTGCTATTCTTTGTATGTTAGGTTTTTTTTTTAATAGTTGTGATTTTTCTCACTTGCAAAGTAGAATTTGATAACTGGAGATTATGAGCAGGGTCTACCCAAAGGGTGCACAGGTAAGAAAAAAAAGTCATGATTTGCTGCATCTTTGGATGAGATTGGACTTGATCTGTTCATAGAGACATGGGTTACATTAATACACAATAAAGGATTGTATAGAAATTTGTGCTACTTGGATGCCATGTTGGCAAAGTGGTGTGCTTTGTGTATTACTGCGGAAAGAAAACATCTTAAGGGAATCATCTTAAGTTGATGAGTAGGGTACAAATGTCTGGGTCAAGTTATATGCAGAATACTCAATGTTTTAACTTTTTTTTTCAGGTCAACCAAGTAACTCATGATCAAGCAGTGGTGCTACAAAGTGCCCTTCAGAGCATTCCTAACCCGTCGTCTGAATGCATGCTTAGAAATGTGTCTGTTCGTCTTGCTCAGCAGATTTCTGATGAGGTTAGTATTGTTAAAAGTAATATGTGTGTGTGTGTGTGTGTGTGTGTGTAGATGTGTCATAGTGTTACTGCACAAAATTATTTCTATATAAATATGCATATTACTTTATAGTATTATAATTTTGTGCAGAAACACACACACATATATAATGCTTTAATTTTCTTTAATTTTTATTTTATTATGTGTGTTTTGCCTGCGTGTCTGTCTGTACATGCCTTGCATGCCTTGATGGCCCTTAGAGGCCAGAAGAGGGTGTTTGGAATTTTTAGAACTACTGAGCTGCCATTTGAATACTGGGAATTGAACCCAGGATTCTCTAGAAAAGCAGCCAGTGCTCCTAACCACTGAGCCATCTCTTCAACCCCAAAACAATTTTTTAAAAATTCATTCATTTTACTGGTTCAGTTTAGATATTGTTTTCCTAATGTCAACTATTAGTACAATATTTTTCACCAGCTTTTTGTATAATAGCGTTCTTTCAAGTATACATTTGATAACTTCTTTTTAAAATATAAACACTACACAGAATATTTTTTCTTTGCCATTGGATCTCAAGATCAGATCCACGGTTTCACACCTGTAGCTCTAAGAGAGAATATTTCTGTAATTCTTCCTTGTAATTTTTTGTTTTGTGTTATTGTTGTTGTTTGTTTTGTTTTTCAGTCCATTCTTTCCAGGCACTAGTCCCAGGTAACCAGTAATTTTTCTGTCCTGATGAAAGAGAATTTTTTGTTTTGTTCTTTGTTTCTTTGCTTTTCAAGGCAGGGTTTCACTATGTAACAATCCTAGCTGTCCTGGAATTCACTTTGTGTAGACCAAGCTGACTGGACTCAAAGATCCCTCCTGTTTCTGCCTCCTGAGTGCTGAAACTAAAGATGTGAGTCACCGTGACTTGCTAAAAGGGTTTTCATTTTCTCGAATTTATTCAGTTGGATCATATGCCTGTAATCCCAACACTTGGGATGCTGAAGCAGAAGGATAGCAAGAGGGCTAACAAGACTGGATCGAAAAATTAATTTAAAAAAACAAGTTAATGGCTTTGTGAATTGTCAGTGTACTAAGTTCATTCGTTTTTGTTAAATATCCTGTTATGGACTGGTTGTGGTGACACATGGCTTTAGTCCCAGCACTTGGGAGGCAGAGGCAGGGTGGCTCTCTGAGTTCTAGGCCAGTCTTCTGTACATAGAGACCTCCAGGACAGCCAGAGCTACATAGGCTGTCTCGAAACACACACACAAATATGCATATACTTAGAAATATATCTTTTATATATAAAATAAACCTGTATATATCCCATTATGAATGTGCCATACTTTGTATATTTGGCAAAATATACTTGGGGCTTTTTTTCTCCCCCTTTTTAGATATGGATAAAACTGCTATGAAAATTCTGTACAAGTATTTGACTTTTTTTCTTGTAAAAACCTGGGAGTGCAATCATTGTCATTTTTGTGGTGATCAGCACTAATAGTCTTAACAACAATTTTAATTAATCATTATTTTATAGGCCTCAAGATACATGCCTGATATTTGTGTAATTAGAGCTATACAAAAAATTATTTGGACATCAGGATGTGGGGGATTACAGCTGGTATTCAGCCCAAATGAAGAAATCACAAAAATTTATGAGAAGGTAAGAGTTGTAAGAGAAATATATCCCTTATATAAAAATGAGTGTTAGTGAATTATGTATATGACTACTTGTACTGTATTCATTTTAAAATATCCAATCACTTTCATAGTAATAATTGCAGCTATAATTGAATAAATATTTACTTTGAAAATAAAGAATTTAATCCTATGAGGCTTTTTTAAAATTAAAAAAGATTTTTCTGTTTCACTGAAGTCAGACTATCTCAAAGAAGTTTTTTTTCCACATTTGTTTTTTCATTATCTTTCAGTCCTGTATAAGTTAGGGTTCTGTCATATATACCTACCTACCTATCCCTTGGATACTACTGCATTCTTAGGAGTTTTTGTTTTGGTTTGGTTTTTAGTTTTATTTATTTTATTATTTTATGTGTATGAGTGTTGCCTACATGCACATATGTGTGCCATGAGTGCCTACTTCTCTCAGGGGTCAGAAGAGAGTGTAGGATCCCCTAGCACTGGAATTATAGACAGTTGAAAGCCACCACGCAAGTGCTATAAATTGGACCTTGTTCCTCTATAAAGAGCAACAATGCTCTTAACTGCTGAGCCAACTCTCCAGCCCACACTGCTACATTCTTAAGAAAAACTTGAATAGTAAGGACTCACTCAGTACAACTTCCCCTTTGTATCAAAACTCATTGTCCTTTTTACTGTTTCTATATTATCTGTTTGGTACAGTCCTCAGTATTCATTCAACAAAATAATTGAAAGCCTAGTTTATTCACATTACTGTAGTACTGACTTTTCAATAAAACCAGCACTTACTTGGGGTTAGGAAGATTTTTGAAACCCTTACTTAGCAATTGTCCAAAGAGATTATTTTTTTGATAGCACAATAGAAAAGCTAGATAATAGAGCTATTTTAACTTACCTACTGTGGTTCACAGGAAAAAGAATGGTTGGTTGTTGGTCTTCAGGAGCTTCTTACTAGAAAATGGTTAATGATTATATGTTTAGTATACGTCTTTAACACTTTTTGAGTCACAGCAAAGTATTGAAATAATTTGGAAAATTATATCATTTCCAAATTATTCTAAAAGGCCTCAAGAGGTATGAGTAAAGAGAAGAACCATGTAATTTAATGAGTAGGTAAATTTTAAACACTTAAGTTTTTGAAGTCATATTTTCCTCTTAAGCACTTTTTAAATGAATTTATAAAGCATTAGTTTTTTTTATTGCACTTTGTAAGCAAAATTTGTTTTTTGTTGTTTCTTCCCTTCCTCCTCCCTTTCTTGTTCTCTCTGTTCATCAGACCCTAGTCAGAAATCTTCCCTTAGACTTTCATGTTACATATGGTTTTTCTTTAAAAGAATTTTTAAGTAATTTGTTTTTGTTATAATTTTACAGACCAATGCAGGCAATGAGCCAGACTTGGAAGATGAACAGGTTTGCTGTGAAGCATTGGAAGTGATGACATTGTGTTTTGCCTTGATTCCAACAGCCTTAGATGCTCTAAGTAAAGAAAAGGCTTGGCAGACATTCATTATTGACTTACTATTGCACTGTCACAGCAAGTAAGTTTGTTTTTAATTGTAAGAAGCATTTTTTTTAAGTCAAGTCACATTTATGTTAGCGCAAGGTATCAAAGAAACCAAATATTCTCCACAGTACATTAATGTTGAAGAAATTTTCATTTAACAATGTTTAACCTAATCGGAATTTGTTTAGTTTTAGTCTACAATATTGGATATTTATTAGCCTCCTGTCGTAAATTCCTAGGTGCCAACTGTTACTTTAATGTGAAATTTAAAAGAGGGCTACATAGAAACATACCATACTAGAATAAAGCTTAATTACTTATCATAAATCCCTCATTCTTTTCATCTCAAGAGCATTTAATCAGTAACAGTAATGTTTCAAGCTGCCTTTGATGTAAGTCATTCAGCTTAAAGATACTCAAATTTGTAGAAAATGGTTTCCATCCATTTATATCAGTCTTAGTCTGATTTTTCACATGTATGTAAATTATAAAACTAATAGGTCAGTTATGGTGGGCACACACCTTTACTTTAATCCCAGCACTCTGGAGGCAGAGGCATGGATACCATTGTGAATTTGAGGCCAGGTTGCTCTACATCTCAAGTTCCAGGATAGCAAGGGCTACATAGGCTTTGTCTCATAAAACAACCACAAAAAAACTAGTAAGGTGTTGCTGTTATATGTTAATGAGTCAGGTTCAACTTGCCTACTCTTGACAGCACACTAATGTGATACAGTGTAGTATCAAGTGAAAATGTACTCATCTGAAAAGAACCTTGAGTAATTTCCTTGAACACAGTCTGTCTGGCCAATTAAGAAACTTTTTTTCAAGGGCTGGAGAGATGGCTCAGCGGTTTAGAGCACTGACTGCTCTTCCAGAGGACCCGGGTTCAATTCCCAGCACCCACATGGCAGCTCACAACTGTCTGAAAATCCAGTTCCGGGGGATCTGACACCTTCACACCAATGTACATAAAGTTAAATAAACCATAAAAATATTTTAAAAAAAGAAACTCTTTTCAACCAGGCAGTGGTAGCGTACATCTTTATTTCCAGCACTCAGAAGGCAGAGATAGGCAGATCCCGAGGCCAGCCTTATCCACAGAGTGAGTTTCAGGACTACACGGAGAAACCCTTTCTCAAAAAAAGAAAGGAAAAGGGGGGTGATGGGAGAGAGGGGAGAGAGAGAAACACAGAAACACTCTTTCCATGGAATCCAAACAGAACAGGAAAAGCTTGCTACCTCTTTGAGAAAACATGGTTGGACAGCTCTGTACATTTAGTTCCATTTAATAATGCATTTGCATGCTGGTGGCGAAGGAAAGATTTTTGAATTAGGGAATGCTCAAATCTTAAATCTTAAATTTAGGCCCAAATCTGAAAGTTTTATTGTCATTGATTTAATTGTAACTGGTTCTTGGACACATACTGTATCTCAGCCCTTTGAGGTTCTAGAAGCACCATGTCAAACAGAGTTGTCTCTGCCCCCAGTGAAGTTTATGTAGTATGTAAACTTTGGTGAAAGATTGATCCATAATTGTTAGATAAAATTCCCATAATGTTGTCATTAGTCCCCCTTAGAAAACATACTGTATAAATATAGTGATTCTTTGTCCTTTGAGACAAATCACCTGAAAGATTTGTTGGCACATTCTTGGCCAGGCCTACCATCGTTTCTCACCAGACCTGAGAACTGGCACTTCTAACCAGGTGATACTGATGTTGTTCATCTGGGGGCCATGCTTTTGGAACCAGTACAACAGTACTACCTACAGCAATATCCTTTCTCTGATAACATAATTCCCTTTGACCCCATATAAAATACACTTGAATGAAAATTCTGTGTGGGGGTTGGAGGTGGATGTTTTAAGGCTTGCTATAGAGCATTTTCTACCTATAAGAGTTTGAAACCTGTTCAGAGAAAGATTAGAAGGCATTTCTCAAACTCTTTAGTAACAGTGTTTGGTCTCAGCCTTGGACATGCAGTGGTAAACTCATTTACTTATGTTCTTAATAATTTCCATTTCAGAACGGTTCGTCAAGTAGCACAGGAGCAATTCTTCTTAATGTGCACCAGATGTTGCATGGGACACAGGCCTCTACTTTTCTTCATTACTCTGCTCTTCACTGTTTTGGGGGTAAGACACTTAAAAATATGTTTACTAGTGTAACTAATTCCTTCAACTAGGATATTCAGGAATTTGTGAATTTAGCTTGTATCAGTTAGGGCAATCTATACTTAATCAGTAAGACTCAGGGTTTTTGAATAAAAGAAATTCCAAGCATGAACATACTGTATTTTCTCATTTTCAGAGCACAGCCAGAGAGAGGGCTAAACATTCAGGCGACTACTTTACCCTTTTACGGCACCTTCTTAATTATGCTTACAACAGTAATATTAATGTACCCAATGCTGAAGTTCTTCTCAATAATGAAATTGACTGGCTTAAAAGAATTAGGGTAAGTCACAATTAATGCTATGTTTGTTTTTATCATTGTTAAATAATGCTTCGTTAATAATGGTTCATAGTTTAGAACATTTTGGTGAAGTGAATAAATTCAAACTAAAACGGAACCAAAGGACATGCATTGTGTTGTTGGGTTGTGCTTTCCAGAATGAATGCCTTACTACTTATAGAAAATATGTGCATAAGATTTAGAATACTTGGGCTGGAGAGATGGCTCAACAGTTAAGAGCACTGGCTGCTCTTCCTGAGGACCTGAGTTCAATTCCCAGCAACACATAGCAGCTCACAACCATCTATAATGGGATCTGATGCCCTCATTTGGAATGCAGGCATACCTGCAGACAGAAAACGCATACATAAAAAGCTGAGCATAATGGCACATGCTTTTAAACCTAGTAGGTGCAGAAGCAAGCATATTTGTTTGACTTCAGGGCTACATAGTAAGGTGAGGGGGGGGGGAAGATTTGGCATACTGAGGTTCAGCTGCAGTTTTAGCTTTTTTGCCCTTCAGCAAATTGTCATTTAAAGAAAATGCTTTCCTGGTGGTGGTGGTGGTGGTGCACGCCTTTAATCCTAGCCCTAGAGAGGCAGAGACAGGCTGATCTTCATGAATTTGAGGCTAGCCTGGTCTGCAGAGCAAGTTCCAGGACAGCAAAAGCTACACAGAGAAACCCTGTTTAAAAAGAGAGAGAGAGGAGAATGAATAAATAAAATGCTGATGGTCCCCCCCAAAAGTAGTCAGAAACACTAATTTTGATTATAACTCTTTTGAAGACTTGTATAAAATTTTATTTCTGAGGTGAGTGATCTATAAGGGAGATCTACAAGGGAAGAGGGGGTTTAAGAGTCCACAACAGAAAAAGTATGGCAGCAAAACAGAAAGCTGACCAATCTATCATACTGAAACTAAAGAACCAGATAGGGTGAACCCAACAAACACATCCTTCTAGTAACTAATATATTTCCTCCAGGAGGATTCCACCTCATGAAGGTTTTTCAAGTGTCCCAAATACCACCAGTAGGTGGGGACCAAGTGTTTATACGTAGGAGCCTATAGTGGACATTTCACACCCAAACTACAGCAGATTTTAGCCTTCAGATTAGCATTTCTTCTAGAAATCCATAAAGCAAGATAATTTTAACTTGCTTGACTGGAAAGGTTTAAAATAGTCTCACGTTCTTTTAGCTGTCTTGTTCAGATTCTTTCATTTCATAAGTTCTTCATTGAATTTTTTTTCCCCTTTGGCAGGATGATGTTAAAAGAACAGGTGAAACAGGTATTGAAGAGACAATCTTGGAAGGACATCTTGGGGTTACAAAAGAGCTACTGGCTTTTCAGACTCCTGAGAAAAAGTTTCATATTGGTTGTGAAAAGGGAGGTGCTAATCTCATTAAAGTAAGTTCTGTGTTCTGGATTTTAAACTACATATTCTATCCTTGTAAGTGTTGTCATTGAATCTGATTGATAGTATTAAGTCTTTGATGTGTTTTTGTTACCTTTTATAAAACCGACCTTTTAAGAATCTTTACCAAGGTTACAATGTTCGTTTAGATAATGTAAAACAGTTACGTCTTCCAGTAGCCATGTCAGGTTTCTAGGCATGTTTCTCTATGCATATAAAATGTCAGTGTAAAGTGTTACTTAATTTTTCTTTTCTGAAAAATCTGAACTGTTCCTAAGTCCCTTTTTTCTTTGTTTTGTTTTCTAAGACAAGGTTTCTGTATATAATAGGTTTTTCTATCCTGGAATTTGCTATGTAGAGCAGGCTGGCTTAGAACTTAGATCTTCCTACCTCTGTTTTGTTAAGACTACATCATATATAAATTGTTTTCCTCAATTTTTGAGACAGGGTTTCTTTGTGTAACCGTCCTAGCTGTCCTGGAACTCACTTTGTAGACAGGCTGGCCTCTGAACTCACATAGATTCTTCTGCCTCCCAAGTGCTAGGATTAAAGGAGTACACCACCACCGCCCAGCTTATATTAATTCTTTAAGTTTTTTTTAACAGGGTAATTTAGATGATAAAATGTCATTTTAGTATAATTTCAGTCAAAGTTTTCTTATATTAATAACTATTTGATTTTTAAAGTAAATGTAAAGAAGAGCCCGGCACTAGGATCTCTGAGTTCAAATTCAGGCTAGGCTATGTAGATTCTGAGTAAATATAAATGATACTGTAGCAGTCAGTTCTGTCTTAATACCTAGAAATAAGTAAGAAATAGGTTGTGTAGGTAAATAATTTTTGAATCTAGGATATTTTCACTAGAAGCCCCACTATCTTTTCTGTGATGTAAGAAAGTCTTAAGTTGTAATAAACTTTAAAATGATTTTCTTTAAAGATAAATTCAGAATATGTCATTACTAATATGTATCCTTTCTTTCAACTGTTTAGGAATTAATCGACGATTTCATCTTTCCTGCATCCAATGTTTACCTGCAGTATATGAGAAATGGAGAGCTCCCAGCTGAACAGGCTATTCCTGTCTGTGGTTCACCAGCTACGATTAATGCTGGTTTTGAGTTACTTGTAGCATTAGCTGTTGGCTGTGTGAGGAACCTCAAACAGATAGTAGATTCTTTGACTGAAATGTATTACATTGGTACAGCAATAACTAGTAAGTACATTAAAACATAAAGTTGTGGAGATGATTCTTTTAAATTCTGTTAGTTCTCTTTTTACAAACATCTTCATATTTTTGTTAGTAACCAATCTAAGATTTTTAGCAAATAGATATATGGAAACATAGGTACAAGTGCAAGTATTTGGTAAACTAAATGTTATCTCTCAAATCTGAAATATAATCTATCTTCATTGTAGTCAGTAGCCATAGTAAATGCAACCAAAACCTAAATCTCATGACTGAGAGTCTATCAGGCATTCATAGAGAAATGAATTCACATTTGTTTTTGTTATTGTATTGTGTTTTGTTTTGGTTTTTTTTTTTTTTGAGACAGGATTTCTCTGTGTAGCCCTGTCTGTCCTGGAGCTTGCTTTGTAGACCAGTCTGGCCTCGAACTCACAGAGACCTGCCTGCCTCTGCTTCCCGAGTTCCAGGTTAAAAAGTGTGCACCACCACCACCACCCATCCGACTTGATTTTTTTTTCTATTAAGACATTTAACTATGGAGTCTTAATTGACTACAAACTCAAGAGATCTGCCTGCTTTTGCCTTCCAAATGCTAGGGTTAAAAGCATGTTTCTTCACGTGGAGATAGATAGATAGATAGATAGATAGATAGATAGATAGATAGATAGATAGATAGATAGGTAATGTTAGATTGATAGATTGCTCAATCATAATATATATTGTACAATACATAAATCCTCAGCACTATATAAATCTTTGAAAAGTCTGCAAAATGATTTTATTACTACATTGTATCCCAGAATAGAAAATATGGTTGTTAAAGGTACCTTAAAATTAGACTTTTAGCTATTCTAGCAAATTTAAATATAGTAAGATGAGGTTTTTTTGTTTTGTTTTGTTTTTTTAGCTTAATGGAGAGGTGTTTCCTTTTGAGTAATAAGTTTGCATGTTAAATTTTAAGTACAAATTGGGTATGGTAATACTCACCTGTAATCACAGTATCTGAATGTTTGCTATGAGTTTGAAGCCAACCTGTTTATATTAGTTACTTTTCTATTACTGTGATAAAACACAATGAACAAGACAACTTACAGGAGGAAGGGTTTATTTGGGCTAACATTTTCAAAGGGATAAGTCTATCACCATCTCAGCCAGAAAGTATGGCAACAGGTAGGAACATTAGAAGAGCTCTCATCCTGGAACTGCAAGCAGGAAGCAGAATGAACTGGAAATAGCACATAACTTTTGAAATCTCAGAGACTGCCCCAAGTAACACATTTCCTCTAATAATGCCACCACACCTTCTAAATGTAACCAAACGGTGTCACAAACTGGGGACCAAGTTCAAATGGCCTAAACTATGAGGTTCATGTCATTCAAAAGGACCAAACTGACCTGCATAGCAAATTCCAGGACAGCAAGGACTGCATGCCAAGACTCTGTCTAAAAATGAAAGCTAACAAGTGCTAAAGAAAGTATACACTAAAAAAAGTATATTTCATGGGGCTGGAGAGATGACTCAGTGGTTAAGAGCATTGCCTGCTCTTCCAAAGGTCCTGAGTTCAATTTCCAGCAACCACGTGGTGGCTCACAACCATCTGTAATGAGGTCTGGTGCCCTCTTCTGGCCTTCAGACACACACAGAATATTGTATACATCATACATACATGCATACATACATAAATAGGTGAGTAAGTAAATAAATAAATAAAAGTATATTTCTGGCCATCTGTTCTCCTAGCATTTTTTTAAAATATTTATTTATTTATTTACTTATTATGTATACAATATTCTGTCTGTGTGTAAGCCCACAGGCCAGAAGAGGGCACCAGATCCCCTTACAGATGGTTGTGAGCCACCATGTGGTTGCTGGGAATTGAACTCAGGACCTTTGGAAGAGTAGGCAATGCTCTTAACCTCTGAGCCATCTCTCCAGCCCCTCTCCTGGCATTTTTGATAGCCATAATTATTATCATTTATATCTTCTCTGTGTGTTCAGGTCCTCTGGAAGAGCAGCCAGTGCAGTTAACCGTTGAGCCATCTCTCTAATCCCTTGTCACTTTGTTTTCCACTTGATATAGCTGATAATATATCTACCATCTGGTTTGCTCCTCAAAATAACATGGTGTGAAAAAATGAGCAGAACTAGTTTTTACTGTATTTGCAGGTGTAAGAACTAGTACAAATTCTGGCTATTTGGGATTATTGAAACCACAAACATGAATGAATAAGTTTTATTTCATTAAAGCTGAGTAAACCACCACGTATTGTGATGTGTATAAACTAAAAGTTAATAATGGGGTGGAAAGATAGTTCAATGGTTAAGAACGCTTACTACTATTATAGAGGTCCTTAGGGTGGTCCACATTAGGTGGCTCACAAATACCTGTAACTCCAACTCCAGGCGTTGTACACATATCTCTGGCTTATGTGTATACACAAACATACACATTAATAAAACTATTTTTCAAAAAGTAAATAACTGAATAGTACAGATAAAACCAAATTGAACAAGGAAATGTTAGCTGTATCCCATCATATGTGAATATATCAAAGAGACTGCCATAGAAGCAGCACCAGATAAAAAGTATGGAGTTTGTTGGAGTCAGAGATGTGGCTCAGTTGGTAGAATGCAGTGACTTTGATTTTCTTGTACTATACAAAGTAGGCATGGTGGTGCATACTTGTAATCCCATCACTGGGATGATAAAAGCAAGATCTTAAGTTCAAGATATTCTGGGTTACATCAGTAGTTCCAGGCCAGTCTGGCTACATGAGACCCTATCTCAAAAACAAATAAATAGGAATTTAGATTGTCTGTCTTAAATGCATTTATTAGTGGAAAAATGCCAAGTGAGAGCCCTAACTCCAATGGCTGTACAGGTAATAGTGTTAACTTTTTTGACAGTTGAAAAGGACAAAATGATTTATGCTCATGCTATAAGACTCTTTATTTTTCAGCTTGTGAAGCACTTACTGAGTGGGAATACCTGCCACCTGTTGGACCCCGCCCACCTAAAGGATTTGTGGGGCTGAAAAATGCCGGTGCTACTTGTTACATGAATTCTGTGATTCAGCAGCTCTATATGATTCCCTCCATCAGGAACGGTATTCTTGCAATTGAAGGCACAGGTAGTGATGTAGATGATGATATGTCTGGGGATGAGAAACAGGACAATGAGGTAAATTTTGCTTATAGTACTTGTTTTTTCTGTGTTTGAAATTCTAATAACCGATACCATTCTCCCAATGACGACTGAGGGAGGCTAGCATAGTCACCAGTTTCCACAAGAGATTGGTCCAGGATCCCCTTCCAGATTCCCTCACCCCACCCCAGGAGATCAAAATCCACTTACTGGCATTTACAACTAGTTTGAATAGACCCTAAACAAGTCTTTTTACATGCTTTCGGTCATCTGTAGATTTTATATAATACTTTAGTGTCAGTGCTATATAATTGTTGTATTACATGGAAAATAATTATTTCTGAAAATCTATACATGTGTGGTACAGAATCAGTTTTCCTCCCAATATTGACCTTCATGAATCCACAAATGCTGTCAGTGGATATGAAGAGCTATTTATGGTGTATTTTCCTTCCTTAGACTGTCAAAACTATGTTTGAAAGTTGGCATTAGCTTGGCCTCTCCCACTTGGACTACCTCCTAATGTGAAATATGTCTCCAATACAACATCTTTTTTTATGTAGTATTTGATAAAAGTTGAACTTTGACTAGTTTAAATCAGCAATGATCAACCTTTTTGGTTTTCTGGTCCACATTGGACAAAGAATTGTCTTGGGTCACACAACTTAAAATCATACTCACTTTTCTTTTTTCCCATTTTTATTTCCATGATTTTTAAGGGGATATTCCTACTATGGTGTTCAAGCTAGCCTCTGAAGGTCTCCAGCTTGAGTCTTGCAGATGCCAGTATTATAGTTTATATGCCATGTTTTTTCTGTGCTTACATGATTTTTGTTATATACCATCCCCCACCCCAGTAATATCTCTCTGCCTACTTAAAACTCTACTCTACTTCAAATGTTTTTCACATGATCTTGTTGTGGCAAGGCTTTTAAGCTGCTTTACAGGTAGCCAAAGCAGATACTAATGATGCCCGTTTTCAAAGAAGAGAATGTGGCAGTACTGAAGTTGTGTCGTGTCTATACCCACCTTATGTCCCTTTTTTAAATGTTTTATTTATCCCTGTTTGTAGTGTTAGTGGGAATTGAAGTGAGAAGCTCAAGTATACTATTCTTATTGTAAATATTTTTGGATATTTCTTCTTTTCTTCCCTTCATTCAGGAAAATTAATTTGTTCTAAAGAAACAGTTTACCACTCCTGAGCCTTCTAAACCATCTCTTCTCAGACCTACTAGACTTAAATGTTCCAGGGATTTTGGACTGAGTATTTTTACTTTTTACCAAAGCTTCACAGGGGGTGCTTATATCCAAACCTGGCTAGGACCCTATGTATTATCTATTCCTATATCAAAGGTCAAACACAAAATGTCCACTGAACTATAATTTTCCTCTGTGGCTCTCATGATTTTGAACCTTGGCAATTTTCATGTTACATCTTCTACCATTATTTGTTTTTGTTAAGGATCTGGCTGTTTTGCCCAGGTTGCCCATTTTTAACTCCTGGTCTGGGCTCAAGTGATTTGCCCAAGTAGCTGGAACTTCAGGCACATTCTGCAGTACTCAACTCTACTATTTATTTTCCAGGGTTTTAAAATAGACCTGATCTTAACCATGTTTTACTGTACAGTTAAATAGTATTAAATGCACTTATTGTTGTGCATCATTACCACCATATCCAAAACTATTTTTATAATCTTGCAGAAGTGAAACTCTGGGGCTGGAGAGATGGCTCAGAGGTTAAGAGAACGGACTGCTGTTCTGGAGGTCCTGAGTTCAATTCCCAGCAACCACATGATGGCTCACACCCATTATAATGAGATCTGGTGCCCAGAACACTATATACATACTAAATAAATTTTTTTTGAAAAAAGTGAAACTCTATACCCATTAAAGAACTACCAACTTTGACAACAGCCCTTGACAGTGATTTTTTTTCCCTATCTATAAATTTTGACTACTCTTAAAGTGCCTCATATAAGTGGAATTATACAATATTTGCCCTTCTGTGACTGGTGAGGGATTTTTTTTATTGTTGTTGTTGGGTTTTTTTGTTTTTTGGTTGGTTGTTTTTTGTTTGTTTCGTTTTGTTTGAGAATAGTGCAGACTGACCTGGAACTTGTGAACTTCCTCCTGTCAGCTGGATAATGCTTTTTACTGGCTGTATGTAGCACATTTTGTTTATCCTTCATCTGTCACAGACACTTGGATTGCTTCCTCATTTTAGCTCGTGCTTTTATGAGCATGAATACATAGAAATCTCTTAGACCCTGCTTTTAGTTCTTAGCATAATAGGTATTCTAGTTGAGTTTAAGGTAAAATATCTTTGAAGAAAACCTCCTTAAATCTTGCTGCTTTTTTATTTTTTTAAGGAGGGTCTAATTATATGTAGTTCTGGCTGGCCTGCAACTTGCTATGTAGATCACAATCACCTCATACTTGAAGTCTTCCTGCTTCTGCCTCCTAAGTGCTGGAATTGCCAGCTCTTTTGCATTTTAAAATTTGAATTGTGAGTTTCAAAAGTCCTATATATTCTGGGTTCTACTTCTTCATCAGATAAGTGACTTTGCATTTTTCTCCCACACTAAATTAGTTGCCCTTTTACTCTCTTGGCAGTGTATTTATGCAAAACTTTTTCATTTTCCTGAGATCCAACTTGTTGATTTTCATATGTTTCTTGTACCTTTGATGTCATAGTAAGAAATCATTACCAATTACAATGTCTTGAAGATTTTTCCTTGAAGATTTTTGATGTTTTAGCTCTAACTTTTAGGACTTTGGTGCAGAATGAATTTTTTTAAATAATCACTACATTTATTTATTAAGGTAATTATGGTAAATATGGGTTACTGCTAAAACAGTGAAATGATTTTTTAAACTAATTAAGGAGGCTTTAGCTTCATTCTTTTACAACTATTAATGTCTATATTCTCATTCATTGTGAAGTGGCAGAAATAAGACTAATGCTGTAAAATTATACATTAAAATGTATACACCTTTTGAAAATTAAGTGGTTTTGGAAACCAAAGTATATGTTCACTAATTAGAATTTATGTCTACTTATTTTACTATACTTCTGATTAGTTTATTAATGATATCTTTTTGGTTTCTAGAGCAATGTTGATCCCAGGGATGATGTGTTTGGATATCCTCAACAATTCGAAGATAAACCAGCACTGAGTAAAACAGAAGATCGGAAAGAGTACAATATTGGTGTTCTAAGACACCTTCAGGTTATCTTTGGGCATTTAGCTGCTTCTCGACTACAATACTACGTGCCAAGAGGGTTTTGGAAACAGTTCAGGTAAAGTATGGATGGATAGTCATAAAACACATCTTAAAACTTGATGAATAGCTCATATTCCTAAAATACATATCTTCAGATATCTTTATGTGCAGATTTTAAGCAATAGTTATACTCCAACTATCCCTAGACTGTTTTTCTTCATTTTGCCCATAAGAGTCCATAGTTTTTCCCCATGACTGTCATAATGAGAGAAATGTCCAGTAATGTTTTACTCTTTTGGCTTTTTGGGGGGGCCCACCACCCAGCTCCCAAATAAATCACAGGGAGGCTTAAAGAGTGTCTGACCTTAGCTTGGCTTGTTTCTTGCCACTTTCTCTTAGCTTAAATTATCCCATCTACCTTTCGCCTCTGGGCTTTTTCCTTTTCTTCTATAATCTTAACTTTCACTCTGACTCCATGGCTGGCCCCTGATATCCTCCTCCTCTTGTTCTCTTGTTCCTCTCTTTCATTGATTCTCTTTTTCTTTATACTCTTCTGCCTGCCACCCTCACATATCCCTGCTCCTGCCTTGCTGTTTGCCACTCAGCTCTTTATTTGACCATTAGGTGTTTTCAGACAGGCACAGTAACATAGCTTCACAGAGTTAAAACAAATGCAGCATAAACAAAAGTAACATATATTAAAAATTAAACAGATTGTGGGATTCTATGTGATACTTTAATGCATATAGGGACAGCATTCTAATCTCTTTCTTTTTTTGATGTCTTAGTTACTGTTCTATTTCTGTGAGGTGACCCCATGACCAAGGCAACTCTTATAAAAGAAAACATTTGTTTGGGCTTACTTACCGTTTCAGAGGGTCAGTCCATTATCATGGTGGGGAACAGACAGTCATGGTGCTGGAGTAGTAGTTGAGAGCTTTAGATTCTGATCTACAGGCAGAGAGAGAATAAAAGACTCTGGTTATGGCTTGGTCTTTTGAAACCTTAAAGCCCAATCCCAGTGACACCTCTTCTAACAAGGGCACACCTCAACGTTCCTAATGCATTTAATAAAGTTAATAATACCCTTTAATACAGTTCATGTTCCTGTGACCCCCTCCCAGCTCTAAAATTTTATTCAGTTGGTACTTCATAACTAATTTTGCTACTGTTGTGAATTGTAATATAAATACCTGATAATGAAGGGTATTTGATATACCACCCTGTTTGTTACAGGTGGAGGTTTCTTATCCTAGGAGCCACTTCCTAATTACCATGGAGGCTTATATTAATTGTAAATGGTCAGCTAATAGCTCAGGCTTATTACTAACTAGCTCCTACATTTTAAATTGACCCATATTCCTTTTTTATGCTCTGCCACATGGTGGTGCCTTGTTTGTTTGTTTTTGTCCTTTTTTTTTGTAGACCAGTCTAGCCTCAAACTCACGGAGATCCACCTGCCTCTGCCTCCCAATTGCTGGGATTAAAGGTGCGTGCCAACACCGCCCTGCTACATGTGGTGGTACCTTTATTAGCATGGCACATTCATTTTGCTTTTCCATGTCTCCTCAGACTCTTTGACTCCACTCTTCTTTCTCCCTTTATCCTTAGCTATACTTTTTGTCTGGCTATTGGCCAATCAGCTTTTATTAGCCAATGAGAGTAATGCATATTCATAGTATACAAAAGGATTGTTCCACAGTACCCTGTGGGTGTGATCACAATCCCCACTTTGAGAACTGCTGTCCTAATTCTTCCAAATGGTTTATCAACTGGGAACCAAGCATGCAAATATGTGAGCGTATGGGGGAGGAGCATTCTCATTCAAACGACTGTATTTGATTTTTTTTTTTTGAGATGTATTTTTAGAGATAGATGTTTGCCAAAGGGGTTGTGACCCACAGGTTAAACCATTACTCTAGATAGTCCAGCCTGGCCTTGAAATCAGGATCTTCTTGCCATGGCCACCTCAATACTGAGATTGTAGGAGCATGCTACAATGCTAGGTATTTTCTCTCTTGTTAAGCCTTTGCTGTTTTCTGTTCTGTACTAGTGAACATCACAGTTAGGTTTGTATAATTGTTTTCATGTGATTAGATTCAGATGTAACTTGAAAGAGTGCAAAAAGGCTATATTAATTTCATAAGCTTCTCAGTACACATTTGTTCATTTAATAACTAAAGATAATAACTGATACCTTGATGTCTTCACAGATGTCTCATAAAGGGCATACATCTTTAGAAGTGTGGTGAATTGTGTTGTAGCTTGAAAATAAATAGAATAGTTAGTGCCATTTCCAATAATGTAACAGTTTAACAAATAATAGATGTGATTTTAAAATTGCTATGTGTGGTATTTTTTGTCTAAAATTTGTGATATTATTTGCCATATATAAGAAATATTTATGAAACAATGCTCTGGCATAACTAAAATACATTTGTCTCTCTCTTGCTTGCAAAGAATACACTTAGTCCTCTCTCTATATATATTACTTTATGAATACAATGTCAGGTATCTGATAGATTACATTAGGACCTGGCCTTGAGCAATGGCAGTTCTCATTCTGTGGTGTGTGTGTGTGTGTGTGTGTGTGTGTGTGTGTGTATGAATGAGTGAGTTGGTTTTTAAGATTAGTTTGTCTAACTTCAGTCCTCAGATCACTGAAAATAGATTGACTGTAATAAAATCTTTTTCACTTGAAAAAAATCAGTTTAATGAAGGTAGACACACAACTCTGTAATCCAAAATTTAGTGAAAACATCACTGTTGGATCCACCACCTCATTTTAGTAGCATCTACAATTGGTTTCAAAATGCATGTGTATATAACATTATCTGAAGCTACCACCCTTCTTAAAGCCATGCTCTCTATCAACCATACCGGTAGTTCTGTGACAATTCTTTGCTATTGGAGTACCACTTTTAACATAAAGTGCTGGACTTTTGTGATGTTTCCTACTTCTTCATGTAGTTGTTTCAGTATGCTGTCATTATAATTGCCTTACCCACAACCCTAGAAAATAAAATGTTCATATTGTTTTGAATGTTACATGTTATATTGCATTCATTTCACAGACTTTGGGGTGAACCTGTTAATCTTCGTGAACAACATGATGCTTTAGAGTTTTTTAATTCTTTGGTGGATAGTTTAGATGAAGCTTTAAAAGCCTTAGGGCATCCAGCTATGCTAAGTAAAGTCTTGGGAGGTTCCTTTGCTGATCAGAAGATTTGCCAAGGCTGCCCACATAGGTAAGTGCTAATAGAGTGTCATATACTATCATTACTAAGAAGAATAAAATTCTTATTAGTGTTAATATAAAAATAGAATGTGCCACTATTTTATTCAACTCCCACAATTGAATAAATTATTACGACTATCTGAGTACTTTGGGGTTGTTTTTGGCTTTGCTAAATAACTTGATTCCTTGTGCTTTTGTCTTGCGCTTAATATTTTACTATTTCATGCTTTTAATTCTTTCATATATTCCTAAGGAACAAAGACAATTTGCATATGACTAGAAATGTTACTTTTCAGTTCGCCTTTTTATCTTAGAGAATTTAAATGGTAATATAAATACACTGAGTTTAGAAGATGACTGACTAGAAGATGACTGGCTAGAGGTGTTATTTTCTTTTAAAACAGTAAAACAGTTACATCTATTATCATTTTTGCACACAATATGTGTAGACATGCATAGGGTACAGATACATAATACTTGCAATAAATAAATGAAACAATAAAAACTAATGATATGAAATTATAAACATGGCATTTCTCGCTATCAAGTCACATCAAAGTTTTATTTTGGTGCTATATGTGTATTTTGGTGCTATGTGTATTTTAAAACTGGGGGTGCTGGAGAGCCAGCTCATTGTTTAAAAGCTAGTTATACTTGCAAAGGACCCAGGTTCAATACCCAGCACCCACGTGGTGATGTACAACTGTCTGTAACTCCATTTACAGGGGGTCTGACTCCTGGCTTCTTCAAGCACCAGGCATGACCACCGTGCACATTCATACATGCAGGCAAAACATCCATGCACATAAAAAAAAAATTTTTAAATAAACTCAGGGCTGGAGAGATGACTCAGCAATTAACAAGCTTTTCCTGTACTTCTAGAGAACCCAAGTTTAGTTCCCAGGATCCACATCAGCCAGTTCATAACCATAACTCTAATTCCAGGGGATCCAACACCCTTTTCTGGTCTCTTTGGGCACACAACAAATGGCAGACAGAAACTTGCACATGCAGGACTGGGACTGAACAAGCATGGGATCAAACTGGACCCTCTGAATGTGGCTGACAATTGGGGCAGACTGAGGGGCCATTGATAATGACACTGGGATTTGTCTCTACTGCATGTACTGGCTTTTTGGGATCTTAGTCTATTTGGATGCATACCTTCCTAAGCCTGGATGGATGAGGGGAGTGGTCCTTGGACTTCCCACAGGGCTGGGTACCCTGCTCTCTCTTAGGACTGGAGTGGGAGAGTGGGAGGGAAGTGGGAGGAGGGGAGGAAATGGAAATTTTGATTGGTATTATTTATAAAGTAATAATTAAAAATAAAGAAACTTACACATGAATTTTAAAAACAAATACTTTTTTATTGGAGGCAGCAAGATGGTTCAGCTGGTAAAGACACTTGGATGGAGACTCAAGTTTGTCAAAATACTTAAGGAGAGAACCAACTTCACAAAGTTGTCCTGACATTTGTATGACGTGGCATATATACTCTAAATAATACATTTTTAAATTTGTTTTTTATTAGAATTCTTTTTGAACAAGTTGGTGATTTGCAATCTCTAAGATGATAATTTTAAAGTCAGCAAGCAAAAGACGTGTGTCTCCAAAGCTTGATGGCCTAAATTCCATTCTCAAGTCCCCTATTGTGAAAGTAGAGAACCAATCCAGGGTATAATTTTTTAAAAGGTGGTATTTTTACATAAACCAAACTCTATTTTATGTAGTCTTGGGATAATTTTGTCATTGAAGGAAACATTTTGTTTTTTAATCAGTAAATGATTGAAAAGTACTATATAAATGAAAACTTCTGTGGGCTTATAATTTAAATGAGAGGTTATATGTGTTCTTTGGACATACATTGTCCACTAGCCTGGGCAACTTTTGGTTCTTTAGAAAATCCTTTTTATCAGAGGCAAATGATATAAATATTTTAACGTCTTATTTATTGATAAAATAGCCAACCTTTTGATTAGCTGTTTCTATCAATCTTGTAAAGTATTGGAATTTTTTACCAGGAGATTTTTTTAGTTTTTCAAGACTGGGTTTTTTTCTGAAGCCCTGGATGTTTTGGAATTTGCTCTGTAGACCAGGATGGCCTTGAACTCTGCTTCTGCCTCCCAAGTGCTGGGATTAAAGACAGCTGCCAGCTTGCCAAAAGAAAGTTTTAAGAGAGCATAATCTTTATCAGCATAATCTTTATCATAATCTATATCAGATCCATAATGCTTAACCAACAACTAAACTAGTCTTGTTTTTGTTAAATCCAGTATAATCAAGTAGAGTCCAAATCTACTGTTACAGGACTTTGTTTGCTTAGAATGTGGTCCGAAAACTATAGAGCATGGGCCTTATCTAGCCGGTTACCTGTTCTATAAAGTTTTATTGGAATTTGCTTACTCAATAATGTATTGTCTGTCTACTTTTGCTAAAATGGTAGAATTGAACACTTGATACAGAGACAATGGGACCCATAATTAATTACTGTAAAACTAAAATTACTGAAAGCACAGTAGACTAAAAGATCTTAACCTATAAACCCAGCTAGCCCTTTTTATTGTTGTTGTTTTTCAAGACAGGGTTTCTCTGTGTAGCCTTGGCTGTTCTGGAATTCCCTCTGTGAACCAGGCTGGCCTCAAATTCAGAGAGTGTTCAGACTAAAGGTGGGCGGCACCACCACCCAGTTACTCTTTCTTAATTTCCATTTCATCTAGTTCTTTTGACTAAGTTAACCTTTCAGAACCCATTTCACTCAAGTGTGAGCGGTTATAGTTCTCTATCAGTTTTGTCATGAAGGCAAAGAACTTATCATGTACAGTGTATAATCAACCTAATGTAGTGATCAGCACAGTCTAAATAACTAAGAAATGCTATTGGTATTAGTAGCATTCTATGACTTAGGAGTTTTGCTTTTCATTAAATATATAAATAATGAAGTATTTAGAGAACTAAAGAGTAAATCCTTTTCTGATGATTCTTAAATAATATCTTTAGGTACGAATGTGAAGAATCTTTTACGACTCTGAATGTAGACATTAGAAACCACCAAAATCTTCTTGATTCTCTGGAACAGTACGTCAAAGGAGATCTATTAGAAGGGGCAAATGCTTATCATTGTGAAAAATGCAATAAAAAGGTATGAATTGTCTGTTAATTATGATAATTCTGAGAGCTATTGATAGTTGATAGCACCTGGTAAGGGAAAGACATTCCAGTCTTTTAAGTCCTGGTAAGTGGACTGCATTCCAGTGAAGAATATTATCAGCACAAATTGGACTTGGTAGGTTCTTTATAAAAAGAAGTGGGGGGGAAACATGGAGTTTAGAGGTAGACCTGACAGTCATTTTTTTTTATCTTTATTATAATAAAAAGCAGTGTGTGTGTTATGGGGAAGGAAGTTAAAAAGTGGTGGCAGAAAAGGCTAGGAAATATAAAATTGTAATTGTTTATGTGAGTTAACAGATATTTATTTCTTCCAAGAAACAAACATAGAGCTGATGGAGGAAAACATTTTTTCCTCTTGTGTTTAGGATTGTTTTGCTGAAACTTAGTTTTTTAAATAGAGTAAAATTGTTCTTTACTTCCTAATTAGATCTTTCTATGGGAATGTAGCTCTTCAAGGGAGAAGGATATATAAATAGTAAATTATGTTTATCTTTTCTGACTTCCGAAGTATTTCAAGTCTAAATTAACTGTTGTGTGGCCTACCACACCACTTAGAAACCTATTAAAGTCTGTACATTGGGATTATTGGGATTATGAGCTATGAAGAAACATTGTCTGCCACCATAGCTCTGAGACATGAGGCAAGTTGCTAAACCCACCAGAACTCTTATCCTATCTTTAAGGTTTATTAACACCATCTTAAGAAGTTTGTAAGGATCAGATGTTATCACTTGTGTAATATTAACTATTTCCTAATTGCCCGATTAAAAAAAGTAAACTATATCTTCAGTTTATTTACAGCAGACAACTTTTGTTGATAACTATAAATAACAAATGGCTGTAGGCAAGGACAGTATAGAAACCAGACAGTAAGTTATGTGTCAATGAGTGATTTTTGCAATTTGTAATCACTGGTATAGGCCGTTTCCATATTAACCAGTTACATTTGCATCAACTTCTCACAGAAATACTTTATGATTGCAATCCAAATAACTTATGAAAACTTGATATAGTAGTTGTATTTTTGTTGTTGTTGTTTAAGAGTTTGCTTAAGAGGCTGGAGAGATAGCTCAGCAGTGAAGAAGAATGTTTACTGCTCTTGTATAGGACCTGAATTCAGTTTCTAACATCCACATGGAAGTTCACAGTTGTGTATCCTTCCAGTTTCGTGGAATCTTTTGCCCTTATCTGGCCTCCTCAGCAACTAGGCACACATGTGGTATACTTACACATAATTTGCTTAAAGAGCTAGATGTAATGATTCGCAACTACTCAAGGGAAAACATGGACCCTATGAAGCCCTCCAAGAAAAAAAGTTTGCCTGGTCTGGTCTGAATGCTGTAACCTCAACTACTTCAGGAGGCTAAAGCAAGAGGATAACACATTCAAGACCTGTCTGGGCTACAAAGCAAGTTCAAAATAAATCTGGACAAAAAAAGAATTGGAGGTATAGCTAAAGGACAGGCGCTTGCATAGCTTGTGTGACACCCTAGGTTCACTTTCTGATTTGGGAGTGGTGGTAGTTGCTTGGATTTTGGGTTTGCTTTTTAATAGTGGATTGTATCTATTTTCTCTTTATTTTAGGTTGATACTGTAAAGCGTTTGCTAATTAAAAAATTACCTCCTGTTCTTGCTATCCAACTAAAACGATTTGATTATGACTGGGAAAGAGAATGTGCAATCAAGTTCAATGACTACTTTGAATTTCCTCGAGAGTTAGACATGGAACCTTACACAGTCGCAGGTGTTGCTAAGCTGGAAGGGGATAATGTAAACCCAGAAAGTCAACTGATACAACAGAATGAACAGTCTGAAGAGAAAGCAGGAAGCACAAAATACAGACTTGTGGGTGTGCTTGTGCACAGTGGTCAAGCAAGTGGAGGACATTACTATTCTTACATCATTCAGAGGAATGGAGGAGATGGTGAAAAGAATCGCTGGTATAAATTTGATGATGGAGATGTAACAGAGTGTAAAATGGATGACGACGAAGAAATGAAAAACCAGTGTTTTGGTGGCGAGTATATGGGAGAAGTGTTTGATCACATGATGAAGCGCATGTCATACAGGCGCCAGAAAAGGTGGTGGAATGCTTACATACTTTTTTATGAACGAATGGACACAATAGACCATGATGATGAATTGCTAAGATACATATCAGAGATTGCTATCGCCACAAGGCCCCATCAGATTGTTATGCCTTCGGCCATTGAGAGAAGTGTACGGAAGCAGAATGTACAGTTCATGCACAACCGAATGCAGTACAGTTTGGAATACTTTCAGTTTATGAAAAAACTACTTACATGTAATGGTGTTTACTTAAACCCTCCTCCAGGTAAGTGTCAAAGTAGCTTCTTATAGCATAGAGTAATTCTTATTTATTGATAGGAATATACTTTGCTTCGCTCCACCTCCTACCCCCTGTCCCCAAGACAGGGTTTCTCTGTAGCTTTGGAGCCTGTCCTGGAGACCAGGTTGGCCTCAAACTCAAAGAGATCCATATGTTTTAATGTGATGCTGGGATTATGATAGTTGGAACACTGCCTTGGGTTTTTTGGTTTGGTTGATTTTGGGGTTGAAGAGAGGTGTTTTCTTTTTTGTTGTTGTTTTGGTTTGGTTCTGGGTTTTTTGTTTTTTGTTTTTTGTTTTTTTTTGAGGTGGGGTTTCTCTGTGTGACAATCCTGGCTGCTCTAGAATTCACTTTGTTGACCAGGATGGCCTCGTATTCACAGAAATCTGCCTGCCTCTACCTCCTGAGTGCTGGGATTAAAGTGATACACCACCATAGCTGGCTTTTTTTATTTGTGCTAAATTCAGGTATCAGAATTTTATAAGTATTCTGAGAAGAGTTCTATTTATTATTTTAATAAATTGAGAACACAGAGTACAAGCTTGTTTGAAAATGGGGCTTGAACAGAAATTTTGATTGTTTTTAAAATATGTGTATGTTTTTTGTTTTTTTTAGGGCAAGATCACCTGTCTCCTGAAGCAGAAGAAATCACTATGATTAGTATTCAGCTTGCTGCGAGGTTCCTCTTTACTACAGGATTTCACACAAAGAAAATAGTTCGTGGCTCTGCCAGTGATTGGTACCTGGTTTTGGATTTTTATTCCTATTTAAAATTTGGTGGGGTTCTTTAGTAGAGTGCTTTTTTAGTTTTTCAGAGCGCTAAGATCATTGTTTCAAATTTAAAAGGCAGATTTTTTAGAAAAAAAAAGTAATCATAATGAGATAAATCATACTAAAATACTTGACATAAATTCAAAGCATAAAAAATTGTTAAAAAATATAGATAGCATCATAATACCTTGTTTTTGTTTTTGGTGGGTTTTTTTTTGTTTCTGGGGTTTTGTTTGTTTGTTTTTCTTTGAGATAGGGTTTCTCTAGTAACCCTGGCTATCTAGGAATTTGCTTTGTAGACCAGACTGGCCTCCAACTCAGCGATCCATCTGCCTCTTCCTTCTGAGTTCTGGAACTAAAGGCATGTGCCACTACTGATCAGCTATATCTAGTTAGCAATTGTTCCTTATTAAGGGCTAGTGATGTCTCTGTGGGTAAAAGCTCTTAACCACCAAGCCTGACAAAACTGCGTTTGATCCCTAGAACCCACATAGTGGAAGGAGAGAGCCTATTCTTGCAAATAGTCCTGTAAGTTACACACACTAAATATATATATATTTAACTTATCCAGAAGATACTCCAATAAGGAAAGAAGGGATTTTGTCATCATTTAATGATGTGTTTTGTTTTTGGGGTTTTTTTGTTTTGTTGGTTTTTGAGGCAAGGTTCCTATGTGTAGCTCCGAGTGTCCTGTCCTGAAACTCTGTAGACCAGGAACCATGCCACCTGGCTATTAATGGTTTTTTAGTAACCAATGCAAGCTTTCACCTATTTTGTAATTCCATGAGATTAGGCCAAGTCATATAGTATTCATATCTCTTCCCCCCAACACCCACAAGATTTCTCTGTGTAGATCTAGCTAACCTAGAACTCCTGTAGACCAAATTAGCCTAGAACTCAGATCCACATGAGATTAAAGGCGTGTATCATCTTGCGTGCCCAGCTCCATATCAGTCATTTTAATGTTAATACTAGAAGTGGTCATTACTGCTGCTGCCTTCAGTGAAAAAAAGATGTTTGCTGTCTTTTGTTTCCTAGCAATCCAGCCCTTTACTGTAGGAAAAGTGAACCGAATTTATAGTTGTGGTTTGTTTTGTTTTAGGTATGATGCATTGTGTATTCTCCTTCGTCACAGCAAGAATGTGCGATTTTGGTTTGCTCACAATGTCCTTTTTAATGTTTCAAATCGTTTTTCTGAATACCTTTTGGAATGCCCTAGTGCAGAAGTGAGAGGTGCATTTGCTAAACTTATAGTCTTCATTGCACATTTTTCCTTGCAAGATGGGCCTTGTCCTTCACCTTTTGCATCTCCTGGACCTTCTAGTCAGGTAATTGTCCCTTTGTTTATAATTAATTATTTGTGTATTCCCCACCCCCCTGAAGTTAGAGAAACTTGAATGCTATATACATTCAATATATACACCATACAATATATACACCATAGTAACAAAGCCTGATCCTTAATTCCAATAAAATTACTAGATAAAAAGCAGCAGTGATTATTTGCCCTTTAAAAATGTATAGATAGCCTGGGGTATGATTTGGTGTAGATAGCCTGGGGTATGATTTGGTGGTAAAAAGCATTCCTAAAATATACTCTGGTGCTCTGGTTTCCATCCCTAGCACAGAAGGGAATTTTTGTAAAGTTATAAGTTTTTATATGTATGTGTATGCTTTTTAAACATTTATTGTGTTTGGAATGTTGTGCATGTGCCACAGCACAAGTGTAGAGGTCGTAGGGCAACTTGTGGGAGTCAGTTTTCTCCTTCCACCATGTGGGTACTAGGAATCAAACAGAGTCCTCTGTTTGGGTGGTAAGCTCCTTTACCCATTGAGTCATCTCACCAGCCCTATTTTTTAATTAGCTTACAAAATAGTATTTCCATGTGAGATTTTCCTATCTACTTCATGTTGGTGGATCTTTTTATGAGCAATTTTTTTTTAATTGCAGCAAAGTGAAAAATCTATAATTAACTCAAAAGCTGGATGTGGTGGCACATGCCTATAAATCTTGGGAAGCTGAGGCAGGGGGATTGAGAATTGAAAGTCAACCTAGGTTCTACATATTGAGATCCTGTCTCAAAACAAAATTAATAGAATGGAAAAGAAAAATATTAGGAAACCTACTTGAGATCTTCATTCCCTTTGCTAAGAATCAATTCCTTTTAATAGTTTGTGGCACAGGCCTATAATCCCAACCCCTTTAGAAGCTAAAGCTAGAGAATTGCAAATTCAAAAGCCAGCTTGGTCCTATTTAGTTTAGACCATTGTCTATTAGTAAGAAGAGATCTTGGGATATAGCTTAGTGGCAAAGTTATTCTCTAGCATTAGCATACACACGGCCTTGGGTCAGTCTAGTGGTGATAGGCAAGATGGATAGAATTCATGTGATCAGGGACTGGAGAGATGGCTGAGATGTTAAGAGCACTGACTGCTCTTCCAGAGGTCTTGAGTTCAATTCCCAGCAACCGCATGGTGACTCACACCCATCTTTAATGAAATCTAGTGCCCTCTGCATACAGACATACGGAACATTGTATATATAATAAATAAATAAACCTTTTTAAAAAAAATTCATGTGATCAGTCTTTCCAAAAAAGGTATTCTTGTGTTCAACATATGCATACATGTCCCCTTTTTATAAGAATGTAATTATCGCCAGGTGGTGGCGGCACACGCCTTACTAGCTTGTGTTTTCTCCTTTACAGGCTTATGACAACTTAAGCTTAAGTGACCACTTATTAAGAGCAGTACTAAATCTCTTAAGGAGGGAAGTTTCAGAACATGGTCGTCATTTACAGCAGTATTTCAACTTGTTTGTAATGTATGCCAATTTAGGTAAGAAGTGAAATTTTCATAAACTGTTAAAGTATTATGTTAAATGATAAGTCATTCAAAAGGTCAAATGATGAAATAAGGATTTCTTTTTCTTTGTATCAAACCTTTTCCCCTGTGTGCTTTTTTTTTATACCTCTGGTAAACACAGCTGAGACCTTATTAAAAGTTTTGCCTCCTTAATCGATGGTATCACATCTGTTTGCATTATTATTTATTTACATTGGTGTTTTACATGCATATCTGTCTGTATGAGGGTGTTGAATTCCCTGGAACAGGGCTGCCTCGTTTGACAGCTCTCCTTCTCAAAGTAACTTGTTTTTTCTAACATCTGTTCATTCCTGTTCAGTTACTACTAGAACTGTACCTAAATATCATGCTCTATTGTCTTCTACTATTATTTGTTGCCAAAGATTGGATGGGGGAGAAAACTTGTCTACCACAAAAATGAACATTCCATCACTAAAGAGTGGGGACACACCTTTAATTTTTAGCACTAGGGAGGCAGACTGATCTGTGAGTTTGAGGTCAGTCTGCCAGACCAACCAGAATGACAATGAGATGTTCCCCCCCCCAAAAAAAAAAGCACAAATAATTTTTGTGTTGTTATTTTGGTGTTTATTTTAATTAACTTGGACAGACGATATAGGTCCTGTAATAATTAAAATTATAAAAATTGCCAGCTGTTCTGTGGTGGCGCTCATTTTTAATCCCTGGAGACAGAGGCAGGCGGATCTCTGAGTTCAAGGCCAGTTTGGTCGGCAGAGGCAAATTCCAGGACAATGAACAGAAGCTCTGTCAAAAAGAGAGAGAGAGAGAGAAATGCTAATAAGATATTAGTATACTGACCTTAAAATTGACAAATTCCATATTTATGTTAATTCTATTTGGCCATATTTAGAACTGGTTCAGAAACTTGGAGAATTGTTTTTTAATAACTTCTTTAAACATTCTTTTTAAAAAGCACTCAATTTTTACATTGAAATTTGGGTTCTGTGCCCAAGAAGTACTTATTGATTCATGGCCCTGTTTACTTCTCATTTATCTCTGATTGGTTGTAATCTTCAGCCTGTACTGCATACCAGAACCCTATTGAAGAAGGAAGCTTAAAAGAAATCCCACACTAGCTCAGAATTGAGAAATAGATGGTTATTTATTTATGGGTCAACTCACAAATCAGAATTCTGCGTTTGAATGGAGATCAGAAAACGAACCCCACAACCGGAACAGAGAGGCCAGAAAAGAGGGCGTACAAGAATGCTCTACATGAGCTTATGTAGTATAAGAGGCCCCAGTGGGTGGATAACCACTGGCTGTAAGATTTCTGACAGCACCCTATTTCTCATTTAGTTTAATAGGGGCTACAATCTAGTTCATATCTAGACTTTATATTTTCCAGGCTATAGTGTTTTCCCTATCCTATTGTCTACATACTCTGTCAGATCATAGTCAAATGGTGTGTTTGTTTGTTTTTGTTGCTCTGTGTGTGAGAGAGAGAGAGAGATGGGTTTTTATGTAGCTTTGGAGACCGGACTGACCTTGAACTCTCAGAGCTCTCTCAGGCTTCTCTCTGCCTTCCAAGTGCTGGGATTAAAATTGTGCACCACCACCGCCCAGCATAATCACTGTTTTATTTAGAAACTTCTAAAGTGGTAAATTTCTTATCATAGTTAAATAAGTATGAATCCAAGTAAGAACAATGTTTCTGATTATAAAGGGTTAGGCATAACCCCAGGTGCAAGTAGATCTCTGAATATGAGGCCAACCTGGTCTGCATAGTGACTTCTAGAAGAGCTAGGGCTATATAGGGAAGCCCTATCTCCAAAAAAGAAAGAAAAGAAAAGATGATAGACCATCTATCATCTTTAGATAGGGTTAGAAAGGTGGCTCAGCAGTTAAAGTGCTTGTACAAGAGTTCAAATCCTTACAACTCAAGTATATGCTGAGTGGAATATGATGGTGTGCCTGTAATTCCAGTCTGAAAAGGTTGAGACACGGAAGCTACAGAGCAAATTGGCTAATAACTGCTGATTTTGTTCACAAAGTTCTTTCTATCTTAATGTTTTTCTTCCCCATTTTCTCCTGCCCGTTTCCTGTCTCTCTTTTGACTGTAGGGGTGGCAGAGAAGACACAGCTGCTGAAACTGAGTGTGCCTGCTACCTTTATGCTTGTGTCTTTAGATGAAGGTCCTGGTCCTCCGATTAAATATCAGTATGCTGAATTAGGCAAATTATACTCAGTAGTGTCACAGCTAATCCGCTGTTGCAATGTCTCCTCAAGAATGCAGTCTTCTATCAATGGTAATGTATTCTTGGCAATAGTTTTGAATACTCTGGGTCAGATCTAGAACTAAATTAAATATAATACTAAAGATAAATACAAAGTAAGGATGTAAAGGAAGGTCCGTGCTTATAACATTTTATAGTATTTACAAGTTCTGTACTTTTTTCACATTAATATAAGTCTTTTTGCTTTCTACTGCATTAAATTTCTAAAATTCTTTATGTTAGTATACCTAATCATTGTAATACATAGTCTACATTTCTTCGTTATGCTTAGGAAACTTGACTTTTACAGCTCATTTTTCTAAAACATTCACAGGCTATTTTCTTAGAAGTCTGCATTGTTATTGTGGAGAAGCTTATTAGTTGTTCATTGGTGACAAATCTGTATTGTAGGTAATCCTTCTCTTCCAAATCCTTTTGGTGATCCTAATTTATCACAACCTATAATGCCAATTCAGCAAAATGTGGTAGATATTTTATTTGTGAGAACAAGTTATGTGAAGAAAATTATTGAAGACTGCAGTAACTCTGATGAGACCGTCAAATTGCTTCGCTTTTGCTGCTGGGAGAATCCTCAGTTCTCATCTACCGTCCTCAGTGAACTTCTTTGGCAGGTTAAGAAATCATAACTATTGCTAAATCTCTATGACTTGATCTGTTACCCATTTATCCATTATTCACTGTGTCTTACCTATTTCTAGGTTGCATATTCCTATACTTATGAACTCCGACCCTATTTGGATCTGCTTTTACAAATTTTACTGATTGAAGACTCCTGGCAGACTCACAGGTAAAAATACTTTAAACATCATTCATTCAACTGAATTGTTTTTTACTTAAAGAAAACCATCAATAGACTTTGTATACATGTGAATTCATTTAAGCCTAAGAATTATTTTAGTTTTAGATTACATTAGTTTTAGAACTAACTTCATGACACAAAGGTAGTCCTTAGGTGAAGAGGGCACAGAAAATACAGATCTTTAATTCTAGCACTTGGGTGGCTGAGGCAGGCAGATTTCTGAGTTTCAAATAACCAGGACTGTAAGGGGGGCCTTGTCTTAAACAAAAGAGAGAGAGAGGGAGAGAAAGTGAGTTCGTAGGTGGATCAGCAAAATAACTCAGTAGGTAAGGGTACTTTCTTCTGCCTGGTGTTTAGTCCTACGTCATTAAAAGAAAACCAGTTTTTGCTGGGCGGTGGTGGCACATGCCCTTGATCCCAGCACTCAGGAGGCAGATCTCTGAGTTTGAGATCGTTCTGGTCTACAAAAGCTAGTTCCAGGACAGGCTCCAAAGCTACAGAGAAACCCTGTCTCCAAAAACCAGAAAGAAAAGAAAATCAGTTCTCTCCAGCTATTCACTGGCAGGTACGCATGCATGCACACACGGAAATGTATTGGTTATCTTAATGGATTACTGCTAACTCATTAATGTTGAATTTACAGCTAGCAGCTTACACCCCATACCCGATGTGAGCTTCTCTAGTACACATTTTCTTTAAGATGCATCACAATTTAGGAACACTAGACTGCATGCACCTCGGTGCTATGCTTGTACACCATTTAAAACAGCAAAAATAAATACTTGTTCATAGTGTTCAGAGTTAGAGGGGGAAACAAGACAGAGTCACTTTATTCAACCTCTGCTAGGAAAGTGCTAGTTCTGGGCAACTCGAATTATTTGCTACTTTATTCATAATCACAGATAGCTAACAAAGCACTTTTAAGTACTGATTTTTAAGATTATCCATTCTTGGGGCTGTAGAATGGTTTGGCCATCTTTTTGAGATGACTCATATTTGGTTCCTAACACCCACATAGTGATTCAAAACCCTCTGTATGTAACTCCAGTTCTCTGGGATCTGACAACCCTCTTCTGACTGCTAAAGGCACCAGACGCACACACACACACACACACACACACACACACACACACACACACACATATATATATATATATATATATATACAATGCAGGAAAACCACTCCTACATCTACACATAAAATAATTTAAACCTTTTTTAATGCTAATGTTTAGTCTTAGTGGAAGATTGCAAGTGCCAGAATTTACAGATTCACCCAGATTATCATTTTAGCATTATATGTTTCCAATTACTGTTATAAAAATAGCAGTAAGCAAAGTATCCGTTTTCTTGGAGGCAAAATGTTCAAAGCTGTCATCAAAGCTTCACTCCTGAGATAATTTTAATGTAGTTTAGCTTCTAGTATTTTCCTTCTTAAAACAGTGTAAGAGATTATAGCTTTTAGGGAGTAATGGCATATATGAACTTTTTAATTCCAGCATTACAATGCAGAGGCAGGCAGATCCCTTTGAGTTCTGAGCCAGCCAAAACTACATAGCAAGATCCTTTCTCAAAAAATAGAAAGAAATTTGTAGCTTTCTAGTTAAACATATCTAAATTCTCTTTTTAGCATATAATATGATGAAAACAGATTGGATTAACTGTGAGAAAGTAGTCATTTTAACTCAAGCTTAAAAATAATCTCATAGAGAAAGGTAAATCTCTGTAAGTTCGAGGCCAGCCTGGTCTACAAAGGACAGCCAAGGCTGCACAGAAAAAAACCCTGTTTTGACAAAAACCAGGAAAAAGGAAGGAAGTTTTGTCATAATGTCTTCCCATGTGTCCTGCTTTGTTAGACATGAAGAAGCAACATCAAGCTGATACTGTTTAAAGATGGTATCTGGAAAACTTGGTATTAGTGGAAAGTAATGTTTTAGCACTTTATATAAGTTTGCAAAAATGAAGGTAAGGATTGGGGGTGGTTTAGTGACAGAGAGCTTATCTAACATGGGTTGCACCAGCCCTCACCCTCAGCACCGCTCCCCCTCAAAAAAAAAATTGAAAAGTAGGATTTATATGTAGTATCTTATATCTTAGATCAAACAGCAAGAAACCTGTAGCCATTTAGACACTCTTGTTCCTTTCCCGTCCTGACAACCATTAATCTCTTTTCTTCTGTGAGTTTGCCTATTACTATCATTTTGCCAAAATGTGATTACAACATTTAGCTTTTTTTTCCTTTAGCAATTATTTTCCTTCAGTGTAATGTTTGCAAGCATTTACCATTATAGCATATATTGGTATTTTATTTCCTTTTTATGGCTGAATGATTACTTAGTCTTACAGGTATATCATTTTGTTTATTGGCAGGTAATGTCTAACACAAAATAAACAGGCACTGGACATGGTGGCACAGCATATAATCTCAGTAGTTGAGAGACTGTGACAGTCAGATTAAGAGGTCAAAGCCATTCTTTGTTACATAATGAGGCCCTTTCTCAAAAAAGACAAAAATAAAGCAAATTATTCTCAACTACGGAGTTTGTGAACTTGTTTCTTAACTTTTTTTAAATTTGTGTTATTCTTGAGTATATTGACTTTGCTTCTGGTAATGTATTTAAACTTCATAAGAAAAACAATTTGAATAAGTAAAGTTTAATGCACAGACTTGAATTAGATTGGTTGGCAACTGTATGACCCTAGGCAAGCTGTTTATTTTGTCGTCTTCTCCAAGGTTTAATAATATTTGCTATCCAGTATGAAACAACTGAACTCACGGGCATTTACTGGATGACATGTAATAGCACTCAATAAATGTTAGCTTCTCTTAGATTTTAGAAATTTTTATCTTCTGATTGTTTTTCAGAATTCATAATGCCCTCAAAGGAATTCCAGATGACCGAGATGGGCTGTTTGACACAATCCAGCGTTCTAAGAATCACTATCAAAAAAGAGCATACCAGTGTATAAAATGTATGGTAGCTCTCTTTAGCAGTTGTCCTGTTGCTTACCAAATCCTGCAGGTGAGGGTATTTTCTTGTAATTTCATAGAAATTTGAATCAGAGTTAAAGATCCTGTTTTAAAGGCTAAGGCTATATATAGTATATATATATATATATCTGTGGTATACTGCTTACCCAGAATATACAAAGCCTTGGAATTAAATCCCCAGTACCACAAACAATAAGCAAAAATGACATTAAGATGTTGTTTTAATCCAGGTCTGGTGGGTGTACATCTACAAAATCAATATTCAAGGCTAAGGCAGGAGGACAACAGGTTCAACAACAGCCTGAGCTACATAGCAAGTCTCTATATCAAGGGGGGAAAAGCAATCTGAGTTTGTGGGGATGGTCGTCATTTTAAATTTTCTTTGAGATATTCCAAATCCTCTTAAGTGTATATATGGTTTTACTTTTAAAGGGCAATGGAGATCTTAAAAGGAAATGGACCTGGGCAGTGGAATGGCTTGGAGATGAACTCGAAAGAAGACCATACACTGGCAATCCTCAATACACTTACAACAATTGGTCTCCCCCAGTGCAAAGCAATGAAACATCAAATGGCTATTTCTTGGAGAGATCACATAGTGCTAGGATGACACTTGCAAAAGCTTGTGAACTCTGTCCTGAGGAGGTAAAAAAAGCCACCAGTCTACAAGAGATAGAAATGGAAGAAAGCAAAGTAATTCTTTATTAGGCCACTGGTTGTGTATTAATGATAGTGTTGTTTTGCTAAAATTGTACTTGCTTTAATATTTAGTGATAAGTTAATCAGGATGCCTCCTTCTGGAGACATTACTGTGCTATAACCTCAAATTCTTCTAAGAGAATCCAAATTAGGAATTTTAATTGTTTTTTAAATCTTTATGTGTATGGGTGTTTTGTCTGTATATATGTCTGCACCATGTGCCTTCTTGGTGTCCATGGAGACCAGAAGAAAGGATATTGGATTCCCTGAAACTGAAGTTCAACAGGTTATTGTGAACTGCCATTTGCGTATTAAAACTTGAACTTTGGCCCGGCAGTGGTATCACACGCCTTTAATTCCAACACTTGGGAGGCTGAGACAGGTGGATCTCTGTGAGTTTGAGGTCAGCCTGGTCTACAAAGCAAGTTCCTGGACAGCCAGGACTGTTAAACAGAGAAACCCTGTCTCAAAAAACCAAAAAGAAAAAGAGGGGGGATAAAAAGACTTGAACTGGCTGGGTGGTGGTGGCACATGCCTTTAATCCCAGCACTCGGGAGGCAGAGATAGGAGGATCTCTGTGAGTTCAAGACCAGCTTGGTCTACAAGAGCTGCAGAGAAACCCTGTCTCTAAAAACCGACAGACAGACAGACAGACAGACAGATCGATAGATCGAAGACTTGAACTTTGGTCCTCTAGAAGAGCAGCAAGTGCTCTTTACTCTGAGTCATCTCTCTAGCCCCATCTCCTTCCGCCATTAACATCATTCATTTACTCTGTATGTATGTGAATATGAACCGTAGCACATGTGGAGATCAGTTTTTTCAAATTAAAATATAACCACATTATCTTTCCCCCTTTTAGTTATTCCCACACAACCCCTTGCTTTGTCTTAAATTCATGGCTTCTTTTTCTTTAAATGTTGTATATATCTATATTCTTAATGTATAAATAACCTGCTCAATGTGTATAAAGTTACTTACATGTTTATTACCTTAGAAATGACCATTTGATATTAGATACATAATTCGGGGATTTTTTCCTAGGGGATATAATTTTCCTGCTTTCAGCATTCCTTATTTACCTATAGTTCTCTGTCTAGGCTTAAAATCTCATGAACTTTCCTCCTTCCGTGTTAACATCTATGAATGTCCTTGTTTAGACAGCCATGTGTGTGGCTTCCCTGGCATTTATAGGAGAGATGGAGTCTCACAACAGACATCCTGTTCCTCTGACTCTGTATAGTATTCCACCCCCTCAGTGATTGGGGAGGGTCCCCGAGCCTTAGATTGCAGAAGTTATAAACAGTATTTAAAAGTTGTTACTACGTCAGCAGAGTTGGAAGTGAGTTTAATGTTGCCTGCATAATTCTTTTTCTTTAAAATTAGGAACCGGATGACCAAGATGCCCCAGATGAGCATGAATCACCTCCACCAGAAGATGCCCCATTATACCCCCATTCCCCTGGATCTCAATATCAGCAGGTAAGCAGGATAGTGGGGTTAATAACCTCTACAGTGGTTCTCGACCTTTCTAATGCTGCAACCCTCTAATACAGTTCCTCATGTTGTGGTGACCAACAACCATAAAATTATTATCGTTGCTACTTTATAACTGTAATTTTGCTACTGTTATGAATTGTAATGTAAATATCTGATATGTGACCCCTGTGAGAGGGTCATTCAGACCACCCCCAGGGGTTGCAACCCACAGATTGAGAACCACTGCTCTAAAACCAATTTCATGCTTAGTTGTAAAGGATGGCTTTTCACCGTGACTGAACTCATAGATTATCTGAACTAACTCTGGGTACATGATCAGAAGAATGGTTGTAGTGTGGTCATGGTGCAAATTTACCAAATATATATGTCTTGTACTAGTACAGAGTGAGTAAAACTGCATGATTCTTCTCAGCATAAAGTAATAATCATTGCTTAGTGTGAAGGATTATGGTAATGCTTGTTAGGCTAAGCCTATAAGTGGATTCTGAAAACACAGAGATATGGCAGTTAAATAATGTTGCTTAATTAGCCTGGGATTTCATTGACAGAAATTATGGGGAATTTGACATATTTCTACAGGTGATTATAACTGTAAAATTACAAAAGTAGATAGAGAAATAATATCCTAAATGGGAACATTCCTAAAACGTAGATGTGACCAAATCAAATGTTTTGAGTTGACAGTAGTACACAATGGACATCAGCTCCCTGGCATCAGGTGTGAACTCACCAAGAGTAGATGGTTTACCTTTAATCCCAGCACTCGTGAGACAGAGATAGGCAGATCTCTGAGATTGTGACCAGCCAGGGCTACATACTAAGAACCCTGTCTTGCAAACCTTTAATCCCAGCACTCAGGAGGCAGACACAGGCGACTATTAGTGAATTCGAGGAATTTGAGGTCAGTATGATCTACAAAGTGAGTTCCAGGGCAGCCAGGACTGTTAAGCAGAGACACCTTGTCTCAAAAACAAACAAACAAACGGGTGGGGGCGCTTGAGATCTGTTGACAGTCTGTAATCCTTACAAGTTCCCAGGTGTTGCTGGCCTGAAAAGCATGTCATGAGAACAGCCTTATGCACCAGGCGGTGGTGGCGCATGCCTTTAATCCCAGCACTTGGGAGACAGAGGCAGGCAGATCTCTGTGAGTTCTAGGCCAGTTGGGTCTATAAGCATTAGTTCCAGGACAGTCTCTAAAACTACAATGAAACTCTGTCTCAGAAAAAAAAAAAAAAGACAGCCTTATGCTTTAGGGTATAAATGGAACCACATAGAATAATTAGTGTTTGTTCCATGTAGTTATTTTCATAATCTAGAATAATTGAACATGAAGCCTAAAATCTTAAATTGGCTTATGGAGTTACAAAGAAAACTTCAACCCTGTCACATTCAGACATTTAAAAAGATGAAAGAACAGTTGCTGTGACACACATTAATTCCAGCACTGGGAAAGGCAGAGATAGTCTGGTTGACACAATGAGTTTCTTCTTTTTTTTAATTCATTCATTTATTTATTTTGGTTTTGTATTTCAAGGCTGGGTTTCTGTGTGTATCCCTGGTTGTCCTGGAATTTGCTCTATAGGCAAGACTGGCCTGTAACTCAGACATCGCCTGCCTCTACTCCTGGGTGCTGAAATCAAAGGCTTGCGCCACCAGGCAAAGTAACATAGTCAGTTTCAAGGCAGCCAGAGCTACATACACAACTAGTCCCTATCCTTAACAAAATTTAAGAGAACCAGCACAGAGGTTACTTTGATCAGCCCTAAGAAAACTAATCTAATCTAGTTACTTTTTCTCCAACCTTGTTGTGATTTCAGTAGCATTAATTAATAATTCTGTCTGCAGCTGGGCTGTGGTGGCACATACCTTTAATCCCAGCACAGGAGGATCTCTGTAAGATCAAGGCAGTCTGGTCTACAGAGTGGGTTCCAGGACAGGCTCCAAAGCTACAGAGAAACCCTGTCTCAAAAACCAAAATATGTCTGCATAAGCAATTTCATCTATGGATTTCATAGTCAATCAGGTTTATCTGCAAAAGAGTCAGTGTACATGTATGCTAGCCCTCACATCATTCTTTGTGAAAACTAACCCAAGAACAGTAATATGGGGTATTTTAATTTGTTGGGCTTACACCTAAATATTTGACACTGCGCTGGCAAAATGGGTCAGTGGGTAAAGGCATTTGCCATACAAGCTCCACCTGAGTTCAGTACCTAGGACTGTTATAGTAGAAGGAGAAAATAACTCCTTCAAGCTGTGCTCTGCCCTTCCCATATGTATTATATTATACATACCTACACATAGACTAATAATAGAATTTAATTTTTTGAGCTGTCTCTAGTCCCTAAATTTATGTATTTGACACTAAAAATTACTTTGGACAAATATTGTTTCAGACTTAACCCAGTCATTTGATCTTTAGGGTCCTGAGGTTTGTATTTGCCCATAAGGTTTTTCTTTTTCCACCAGTTTCCATTATCAGGCAGGTGTATTTAAAGGCTAAGTCCTAAGAATAAGATACATGTTTACATTCACAACAATTTCAACTCATAGTTTTAAAGTGTGCTTGCTATTGAAAAGGTTGGGTTTTTCCTAGATTTATTTTACCACGTTTAATTATGCATATATGCCAGGGAGTATCAGTTGCAGAGACTCGGGTGTGTCAGATCTTATAACTGGAGTTATGCCAGTTATAAGCCACCTAGCATGGGTACTGTGAACCAACCTCTCATCCTCTGTATAACCGATACATAGTCTGATCCAGCCATGGAAAAGTTGTAATGCACAGATTTCTTTTTCCTTTCAGAATAACCATGTGCATGGACAGCCATATACAGGCCCAGCAGCACATCACATGAATAACCCTCAGAGAACTGGCCAACGAGCACAAGAAAATTATGAAGGCAGTGAAGAAGTGTCCCCACCTCAAACCAAGGATCAGTGAAATGCACATATTAACTGGTTCCATCAAGACTGTGCACCCAGGCCTTACAGTCCAACTTTTTTCTGTGTCTGGCTAATATTTAAAACTAGAAAAACTATTCCTAATCAACATGGATTGGAGAGTTTATTCACTGTCTTATCTGCAGAAATACGCTGTCAATATATAACCCGCCTGCAGTGGAAAGTGTATAGTGTTTTGTAATAAATGGCCTGATGCTAATGTGTAAATGGCAAAGGTGTATATAGTATATTAATGTTTGACTGTTAATTCTTAAGAAACTTTTTTTTTCTTGATGAGACTCACAGATCTACAAAAACTACATTAATTTTCTTGTTATACCCACTGCACTCTGCAGCCAGTGTTGCCTACCTTGTGGCAGTTGGATCACCTCCTTTACAAAAACAAAAGTTAACAGCAACAAAATAGCCCATTCATGTCACACCAATAGTTTTCGTGTTCATTCTTTGCCACTGGAATCAATTTTACTATGAGCAATGTAAAGCTGGTTACCTTTTAATTATTTGGTTGATGTGGAAAATTGGTGATGTACTGTTTCTAGATCTTTTTCATTGCCTTTTTATTCTGATGTTAGGTTAATCACTTTGAAGCTATAGATATGCTGTAACATTTAGCATGGCTTCACACAAGTTAGTGTAGCCAATGAGGAAATATTACCATAATGACTGCAGTTATCCTGACATGGAGACTGCATTGCCTGGAGCTTTCCTTCTTAAACCCTAGACTATAAAATACAGGCTGAGGGGAGAACTGTGGTAAGCAGGCAGTTCTCAATTGCACATGTGTTCCTTCTCGTGTTTGACAGTGCAGATCTCTGGGTGGAAAAAAGAACACAAATTTATCCATTTAGTGGTGGGAATTTTGAAAGGTTTAAAACAAATATGAAAAAATTTGCTATGCCAGGATGCTGGCTGGAGCCTAGTATAAGACTGTATTTGGTGTGCTTGTTTTGTTCTTTGGTAGAGCTTACTAAGTGACTCTTCTAAAACTGTCCTCTGCTGGACCCCAGTGATTCAGAAGTCAGAACCCCACAGTCTTTTGAGTACCTCTGCACCAAGATGTCTGACTGATTCTCTGCTCAGTCATAATTTTACTTGAAAGCAAAAATTGTCCTAGCTCCTGTTCCATTCCAAAAATTTTAACGTTCAAAGCAGGGTCTAATTTAAAAATAAAAAAATTACTGGTCATTAATATAATTGAAGTATCACAATTTTAGAATAAACAATTTGAATTCATCAGTTAATACTGTATTTTAAAGAGAATTGGTGACTTGAATGTGTGTAATTTTTGGAAACTGTCTAAAACCAAATACCCCTGCAAACAGATACAACCCACCCTATTTAAATATTTTGCTGTTTTATTTTATAGAAATTATTTTGCTGAATTCGCAAATAGAATTTGATTTAAGAAGAACTTTTTGTCCTGTGGTGTGTTTGGGGGTTTTGGTACCTTTTCTCTCTCTCTCTCTGTCTCTCTCTCTCTCTCCCTCCTATCTCCTGCATATTTTGTGCACAGAAAGATTGGCTCTTTACTAAAAAAGGCTTGGAGAACAGGATGTTGATGTTGTAAAAGTTCCTCTAACAGTCAGTCTTGTACTTTTTGTATTTTTTATATACATGTGTATTTAATGAGCACAAGCTTGGTTGTATTTTTTACATTTCAGTTGATAGAAAAATGTTGAAAGGCTATAGTTGACACTGTTCAAAGCAGATGCAAAATTGAGCATTTATCTTACTTTGTGATTTAAAGGGGGCAGTATTTAAGATAAAGCTTCGGGTATCTTATTCGCAGTATTCCACAGTCCTGCTTCTAGGCTTCTTGTAATTTTAGCAGCTTTTGACTCTACTGTACATTCTGTTTACATCAGAATTTGCTTTTGTTTTGGTTTTTGTGGAGCTAGGGATCCAGGGCCTCAAGCACTCTAGACAAGTGCTCTGCCACTGAACTGTACCTCCAGCCTGAATTGAAGTTTGAGCAAAGGTGTATACAGTGCTTGCCTTTCCAACTGGAAGTTTTCAAAGTTTCTCATATAGTGAAGTAGGTTAGTTTTGTTTGGACGAGTTACTGGTACTAGTTATCTTACCATCTGACAAACAACCTTGACATTTTCTGCTCCTTAATGAAATTATGAAATACATAAAACTTAGTGACTTCCTAGATAAGAGAAAACTTGACATTTTCAAAGGCTGTGAATTTTTAGTTTTGGAGGGATTCCCCCCTCCCCATTAGTTGCTTTGAGTGTATAAGTCCACCAGTTCCTAGTGAGGGTTTGAGTCATGTTTCCCTCCATTTGAGGAAGAGTCAGTCTGTGTTGTGACCATGAGTAAGGGAAACTGAACAGAGTTATTTTTTGTTTATGAAAATTATTTTCTATGTTTAACTCTTTAAGCATTAATGTATAACCGAAAATTTTAAGATGCATGTTATTGTAAGAGTAACTTAGTGGTGATTTTGAGGTCTTTAAAACATAAATGGCACATTTTAAATTTCAAGTCTTAAAGTGCCTAAAAATTATTTGATTCTCTCAACCGATTCTTTTGAGCCATATGTTTCCTCCTTTAAATGTTTGTTGCAGATCACTAGTGTCTTCCTTTGAAATACTCCCATGTTTCTAAATAGCATGATTACTCTATTGAAGACAGTAGAATCTGTTAACGTAAAGACTGAAGAGGTTTTAGTTGTGAAACTGTGTGAGTTGGGGTGTTGCACCTTTGAATCTAAGTATTTCCGTGTACAACTTGGTAAACACCATATTGCTGCTGTTTCTAAGCCCTCAAACAACTGACTTCTCGTGTTCAGCATCACAGAGGCAGAAATACAAACATAATCATATTTGGACTTTATTTTTTTTTATTGATTTTTCTCAGTGATGATTTCCCAGCTTTTTTTGTCTCAGCTATAATTATACAGACCTAGAATTATTCAAATGTTTTCTATTTTCATGATTAACTTTTATTAGTGAACAATAACAACTTAAATCCTCATTGGTTAAAAAGATGAGGAGCCTTTTTTATTTGAGTTACTTTTTTAAAGGAAAGTAACAGTCTGTGAATATTCAGGTGACTACTTTAGAATAGTTCTTTGGATTTTTATTAGTATTTTTCCAGGTTATGTTCTCCCATGGACTATTTTACTTCGTCAAATTTTGTGGTTAATTTGGTGACTATATCCTGCCTTATTTAGAATTTTAGAAAATTGCCTTTTTGTGATAAGTGCCCAGCTTTGATTTCTAGATTGAAGGTACGAGGACATACAGACTGCTGATAAAACAGTACCCCTTTGCCCCAGCTTTTATGTTACCAACAAAACCGTTCTTGGTACTGGTTTCATCATAGGGTCCAACCTGATTTGGTCCCTCACCTACATGAGTGTTGCATATTGAAAATAAGGCTTTGGTATGATAAATCACTACAGAAGTGCTGAATGTATTAAGAACTTGCTGCCGATTGTATTTCTATTATTTTGTGTTTGCAGAAGTATGTAGCACTTGTCCTCTAAACTTACAGGTGTAAGTGGGGAAAGGTGAACCACATTTTAAAGTCACTAATGAGTGCAATTTTTTTTAATTTTGGAATTGGGGTTCCCAAAAGGAAATCTCACCACCCAAATCTCACATACTTCTTAGCCTTTTACAAGCCAACAGACTGACATAAAAGATTGTCCGCAGTTCGTAAGATCTAGCACATATACAAAAATAAAACTTTATAAATTAAATTTTGGTTTTTCTTTTATTTATTAAAATACAGTTTCTAAGATCTAAAGCCTAGTTTTTCCCCCTCCCCCCTGTATTGCTGGGGATGGAATACAGGGCCTCCAATATAGGCAAGTCACTGAGCCACATTCCGGGCCCTTGAATTTTTTTTTAAGGGAAATGATTATAAACATTTATTATAAAAGGTCATTTACAGATCCAACATGTGTTCATGTCTAAGCAGCTAAACATTTGTTTCTTGTTTGGGGTTTGTGAGGTGTTTTGGGTTTATTTCTGGGGTTTTTAGTTTTTCTTTTTGGTTTTTCTGTGTAACAGTCCTGTCTGTCCTGGAACTCTGTAGATCAGGCTGGCCTCAAACTCAGATTCGTCTGCCTCCCAAGTGCTGGGATTACAGGCACCACCTGAGTGTGCATCACCACTGCCTGTCTTGATTTTAAATCTGAAAACTCCCCTGTTTTGAGGGGTTCAGTTAGTATGACAATTCACTTTAGCATTTCATCTGTTCATTTTCAGTATCAAAAAATAAATTTGACTTATGCAGAACCTATTGATATTTCCCCAAAGTTGGAATACTTTAAGGATTACTGCTAAAGAAGGGCATTTCAAATATTCCTCACATTTGATTTTTATTGAAACATAGCCTGTAACTCAGGATGGTCTGGAATTCACTCTTAACTAATTCATTCTAACTCAGACTATGACCTTTTGTCACAGCCTCCAAAGTTCCAGGTATATATGATTTTCTGGTTCCATCCTTCCTGCTCCACTTTTTTTTTTTAAAAGAAAAATTGGCAAAGTATTGTGGTATGCTTATGAACCTACCACTTAAGGGGGAAGACCAGTTAAAGGTCATCTTTAACTACTAAATTTGAGGCCAATCTGAACTATAGATTCCTTTCTCGGAACTATATAAAACCAAATCAAGTATTAAATTCGTGCCATTTGGGAAACTAATTGGTTTGGCCATTTCTGTTTGAATTTTAATGTCCCTTAGCTAAATATTGGACAAGAAGTGTTCAGCATCAGGGGCTAGGGAGTTACTTTCATATATGAGATATCTTTGGAATGAGACCCTACTGTAAACACATTATATGACATATGCACAGTCTGAATAATTCTATATTTGTAATGATCCCTTGTATTTGAAGTAGGTTTTTTGGGTTTTTTAGTTTGCTGTGCTGGATAGAGCCTGCCACATACTAGCCAAGCTAGCACTGGATAACTAAGCCATCTTTATCTTAAAAATTGAATTGTTACAAAATGTTTCAGACACATTCTAAAAAGACATTTTAAATATACAAAACTTGGGAAGAGTGGAGTGGGAAGCATTTCAACTGAGGTACAATGGTACCTGACTGTTCCTTAATACTTCAGAACATAGCATGTCTCACCAAGTCAGTCAGATACCAGTGAAGAGGGGGCCAACCACTTTCATAGACTTGATAAGAACCCATCTGGTTTCTTGCCATTTTTAACTGCTGTGTTCTGACCCTTCCTTTCCCAGCTATTGGAGCATTGAATAACCAACTTAGGAACTCAGGAGAGTGTTTTTGGATGTTCTATCATGTTCAAAGAAAAGGATACACTAGATTCATAAAGGTACTGAATTAAAGGCTGGGTAAATGGTTCAGTTACCACAGTGCTGACTTGACTGCAAGCACTAGGACTTCAGCTAAATTGCAGAACCCACACTTGGAACACCAATACTAGGTAGGTAAAGATAGGCATATCCCTGGGATTCCCTGGCTAGTCACCCTACCGTACAGGTCATCCAGAGACCCTGTTTTAATTAAAGGATGGTAGAAGCCTTAATTGATACACACCTTTAATCCCAACACTCAGGAGGCAGAAGCAAGTGGATGGCTTAGGATGTTGAAGCCAACCTGGTCTACAAGGTGTGTTCCAAGAAAGCCAGACCTCTGTAACAGACCATGACGTTTATTACAGTATATGATGGGGAAGGGGTACATACATGCTACTGGGGAGGTCAGAGAAAAGTTCTCTGATACCATGTGGATGCTAGGAACTAAACTCAGATCACCAGACTTGGCATCAAGTACCTTTACCCTCTGAGTCACTAAGTGTTTTTAAAGTGCGGAATGGACTAAAAGCACGGTGGGCTGAGCAATGGTGGAGCATGTCTTTAATCCCAGCACCAAGAAGGCAGAGGCAATCTGATCTCTGAGTTCGAATCCAGCCTGGTCTACAGAGTGCGTTCCAGGACAGCTAGGGCTATTATACAGAGACGCCCTGTCTTGAAGAAACTGCAAAGCTGGGTGGGTGGGGTGGCTCACATCTGTAATTCCACCACTTAGGAAGCTGAAGCAGGAGGAAGTCGGGGTGAATTCTGGGCAAGCCTGGGCCAAAGTGTTAAGACACTGTCACAAAAAGTTATAAGTATATACACACATAGCTAGAATCCAAAGAACATTTAATATCACCCGAATCTCTATTAAATACTGAGGTCTGACATAAACTTGGTTTAAAACAGTTAAAGGTGGAAGCTAGAGAATTGGCTCAAGTTGAGAACACTTACTGCTCTTGGTTCCCAATTAGTAGTCAGTCACTAGTAGGCTATTCTCACTAAGAGACCAGAATGAGTTTTATAGAGAGAGTTTTTTTAATAGTCTTTTCTCATTTTACATAGCTATCCCTTTCCCAATCCCTCGCTTCTTCCTGCCCCACCCTTCTCCCCATGGGATGAGTCTATGAATCTGGAATTTTTATTGAGCCACAAAAACCCAGCTGGGGGCATGCACTCTGGTAACTACAAGTCTACAGGCCCCAAGCTGAGTGAGCAAGTGGGTTATTTTATTTTCCTCTTTGAATCACTTAGTTGTTTTTGTTTTGTTTTCTAATTGGTTATTGGTTAGTTCACTTTTCTAAGACAGGATCTCACCTATGCAGCTCTGGCTGTCCGAGAACTTGCTCTAGGAATTTTAACTGAAACCAGGTTGACCTCAAACTCTGTGAAGATATCCGGCGGGAATGAGAAGAAGACATGAGACACAAACGAACCCACTTGGGAGTTTATTAAGAGAGGTTGTGCTAACGGGCCCAAGAAAATGGTGTGGAAGGAGAGAGCGTAAAAAAATGGCACGACCAGCTTTTAAAAGTTTCCTAGCACATGCGCATGAGGGGAAAGACGTACCTATGTCAGGCGCTGATGACAGGTGACGCTACACCTTACACCTGTGTACGTGAGCTTTTGCGTCAGACGCTGATGACGCAGATGGCAGGCGACCCACTCATGTGCACACAGGGGTTACATGCGCCTGCTTTAGAACCCGGAAGTGCAGCTTTACGGGTGGCTAGAAGAATTACATTTCACCCTTTCGTTCATTGTAAAAATTTGGGGGGGTTGAGGATCTTAATGGGTAGGAATGGGGCCCAGCAAGGTCTCTCATAACTGCTTCATGCTGACTTTGTGGGCGTCGAGGAGTTTGGGATGTCTGATCGCGTCCTGGAGTGACCGATTAAGACTATTTTCCGGGCTCTGAGGAACTGGGTCATCTGGCAGCTTGGACCTCGCAAGATGCTGGAAAGACAAAAATTACGTTTGGGAGAGAAAAAAAATTTAGATCCTAGTGATTAATAGAGGGGAGGATTAAGATTGAAGATAGAAGGGGGGTTTAGGAGTTCCTGAATGATTGATGGGGAGAGGTTTAAGGTGGAATATTGAAGGTGGAAGTTTAGGGGTTCCCGAGACCAGGAATGACAAAGAAAGAATTAAATGATACTTATTCCGGGCGAGTCTGGTCTGTTTAGGTGGGTCAAACCGGCTCCCTGGAGCTTATAAAAAAATGTTTGAAAAGAAATAAATTTTAGACATATTAACAGTGTATGATTATAACAATACAGTGTGTCATGGCATTCCCTCAACATCCAGGAGACACTGCTGCAGTCAGTCACAAGCCTGTTATGTTAAGGTTTGTTTTATGAGGTTTTTTGGAGTTTGGGGCTACAAATTTATTAGTTTATTACCACCTGGGCTTTTGACAGTCCTTGTACCTCCAGCTCTACGTTTGATGATGGTTCCTGTAATAACAGCTGAGTGGTTATTTGGAAATTTAAGCTTGACATTGGAGGTATATGGAGAAGTTGTATATAGGAAAAAGAGGAGAAGGGAGAGTATATTGGCACAAGAGAGTTGAATAAGGATGGGATCTATCTTTCTTTCTTTCTTTATTTATTTATTTATTTATTTATTTATTTATTTATTTTGAACTGGAGTAAGAGAGGCTGAACTTGGTGTCCTCTGGAACCTAAGGGAACAGGGTCCTGTGTGAGTTACTGTGTATGAGGGGTCATCTTGAGCTGGAGGAGTAAACAGTTTAAGATGCCATAGGTGAATCCAATGAGAAATTCCCTCAAGCTTGGCAGCTGTGGGAGTCAAAAGAATTACTCTGAAGGGGCCCTGCTATTTATGGGAAAGGGGTGAGGGATGTTGGCCTGGAGGAGAAAATAATACCTGATCTCCTATTTTAATCGGTGGTGGGCATGGGTTAGCACATGGTTGAGGTAATGAGTAGTCAGTAAAATCCCACAGTAGGGAGCATAGATGAGATAGCAGGGGAATAAGCAGGTGATCAGGAAGGGGAGAGGTTTTAGGTGAGAGGCCGGGGGTTAAAACTGGCCGCCCATACATGAGTTCAAAGGGTGAGATGAAAAGGGGCTTTTGGGGAGAGCCCTAAGCCTAAGGAGGGCCAGAGGCAAGAGTTTTACCCAGTCGAGGTGAAGTTCCTGTGACATTTTAACAAGAACATTTTTTAAGGAACGGTTAGTTCGTTCTACCTTTCCTGAATACTGAGGGTGGTATGGGATATGAAAATGCTAAGGGATGTTAAAAGCCTTAGACAAGTTTTGGGAAATCTGGGAAGTGAACTCAGGGGCCGTTATCTGACTGAAGAGAGGTTGGGATTCCAAACCTGGGGATGATTTCTCGGAGAAGAACGTCAGAGACTGTCTGGGCCCTCTTATTAGTGGTGGGAAACGCTTCAATCCACCCGAACATTGTATCTACCAAGACCAGGAGATATTTAACTCTTTTGACTGCGGGCATATGAGTAAAATCCAGCTGCCAGTCGGTTCCTGAAAGGGAGCCCCTGGCCTGGTGGGTGGGAAAAGGAAAGCTACGGTATTTGGTCTTGGGATCTGACTTTTGACAAATTTGACAAGAGGCAGTGATAGCTTTTAGGAACTTTATGTCCTCAGGGGTGGGTTGGAGGTGAGCCTAACAAAATGAAACAGAGCTTTGCTATTAGGATGAAAGAGCTGATGTAGGTAGGACAGAATCTGCTGAGTGTCAGGGGGTGTCTGTGAGAGTGTGGGCTGTACTGTATGAACCCCCTGAGGTGACTGGGGTAGGTTTGGGCTCTGGAATGCTGCTGTTTTAGCTGCTCGGTCATCCCATTATTTCCTTTAATGGAACTGTCGGTCTGATGAGGCCGACAGTGAAAAATTCCTATAACTTTGGGGAGATGGGAGGCTTTTAACATGTCCATAATGTAACCTGAGTTAGTTGTGGATCTTCCTTTTGTCGTAAGAAGCCCACACTCCTTCCAGATAGCCACGTGGGACAGGAGGATATTTGGAGTCTGTGAAAACATTTAAAGATTGTCCCTTTGTTAACTGAAAGGCACGGGTAAGAGCTTCCGCTGAGATGAGACTTGAGTGTATTTGGAGACATCCTCATTTCTCATGCTGCCCCATTTTCGGCTAAGACTTGTCTCGGAGTTGTGACAGGCTTGAGTCACACAGGCATGCTCTTCTAGTTGGTTTTTTGCGATTCTAAGTCAATTACTCAAAGGCCCTTGGGCAGCCTTTTACAAAAATCCTTTTAAATTGGGGCTATCTAACTTAAATCAAATAATGCTCCAAAAGCCCATGGTTTCTAGTTGTATGCTCTCACCCCCTTCCATTTTTTTTTCTCTGCTCATTTGCGGCCAGCAGTTTGTCCCTCCCCGCACTTCTGCCTCTCTTCTTCTGCTCATTCATGGCCCCCTGCAGTCTGCGGGGTTCTGCACCCAGAGGTGCGGCCAGCTCCAACCTCACTCTGCTCTCATCCCCTCCTTGCTGTTTGTGTTTGGGCAGCCTTTTAAATAAGGCTCCAAAAGCCCATGGATTCTGTCACATGCTTTTGCCCTGCTCTCCTCCCTGTCGTCGTCTTGGCCCCCTCCCGGGGGGGGCCCCCCCCGGGGGGGGGGGGGGGGGGGGGGGGGGGGGGG